AAAAAAAAAAAAAAAAAAAAAAAAAAAAAAAAAAAAAAAAAAGGGAGGAGGTGGGGAAGGATACGGGGGAAGCCAGGGTTGGGGCTGCCTGCTGCTGCTGGACACCGTCGTACCAGGATCGTCGGACACCGTCGTACCGGGATCGTCGAATTTTTTTTTTTTTTCTTTTCTTTTTTTTCTTTTTTTTATTCTCTGTTTCAGGTGCTGCTGCTGCTGGACACCGTCGTACCGGGATCGTCGAATTTTTTTTTTCTTTTTTTTTCTTTTCTTTTCTTTTTTTTCTTTTTTTTATTCTCTGTTTCAGGTGCTGCTGCTGCTGCCGCTGGTTGCCGCAACCGAAGGTAAGATATCGTTTTAATTCTTCACATTAATCAGTTACAGAAGGCACTACTTCCGTCCTCTGCGGGCCCAACTGCTTTTTAGTGGTATCCAAAACTGCATGGAGCAGTTACAGATAAAGCTACGGCAGCATTGGTAAGTGTTTTCTTTAGTTTTCTCTCTTCCTTTCTTCTCCCCTCTTCCTTTCCTCTCTCCTCTTCCTTTTCTTTCCTTTCCTCTCTCCTCTTCCCTCCCCCGTGGATTAGGGCTCTTGGCGATACCACGTTAAAAAAAACGCGCCAAAGCTCTACCTCCGGGAGCAGTACCTGATTGGGCTCTCCTAAGGTGGTGTGGAAACGAGCTTGTCTATATGTATTTCCCCATTTTCCCCGAGTTGTGGATTATAGCTACTAGTGATACAATGGAAATAATAAATCAATGACGTCAAAACTTAAGATTTGTTTCATATAAGCCGTGCTCAGCTCAAATTTTCATGTGACAGCCGCGTTAAATTAAATTAGGGGAAGACTGACTTTTTTTCTGTTTCATAAGAGGAGTGGAAATTCAGAACCTCATAAATGCCATCAGGTATTGCAATGATTGAGCGACAGTTTCGATGAGAACACAATTGAGAGAAAATCTCCCCATAAAGATTTAAAATTTAATGAAGGAAGGCATTTAGGCTCTCACCACCATCACCATTAGGCAACACCTCATAAGGCTCATTTAGGCAACACCTGATGGCACTTACCAGATTTTGAATTTCTACACGTGGCAATGCCTAAACGCGAAAAAAACTGTAACGTTTAAAATACCTCCAATTATATTTCATTTGCCACAAGGAAAACTGAGCTTGAAATTCATTTAGAATAAGTGATGAAAATTCACAAAGTTTCGATAGATTGCGACCATCAACAGAAACCTTCATCGAGAGGAACAAAAATCTTAGAAGCGTGATTTTCGTCGAGTTGGGTTGAGAATTCGGATTTGGCAGTCCTACAGAATAAGTTGCAAACAGAGCGATACATTTTTTCATGAGGAGACACGAAGTTATTATCTGAGGCAAGCAGCTTCATAATCAAGTGATTTTGTTCCCTGCAGCCTGGTTGTTGGTTTGTCGGGATGACATAAATGACATAGGTTAAAAGGTGGAGCGTGATTGGTTGGCTATGTCTTATCGCTGCTTTGTCGTGCCTATGTCGGGTTGAACTGACGACAAGCTAACGGCACCTCTTAAGTTTCTTAAGTATGTCGTCCATTCCACCTGACAAAGGCATGAAAAAGCAGCGATAAGACATAGCCGACCAATCACGCTCCACCTTTTAACCTATGTCATCTATGTCGTCCTGACAAACACAAAATTTCAACAATCGAGCTGCTGGACATGACAGATTAGAATTTTAGCTCTCCTTCCAAACTGCGGTTTTTTTCAGAGGAGGGATCCTTGCTTCATCTTCGCGTTTTCAGTTCTCTACAGTTTCATGTGACCAGTTTTGATTTTTGATTTTTGACTTCGCACAAAAATTTTGGCGGTAATCAGGATCTCTCTTCCACGAAAAAGCCAGTTTTGGAGGAGAGCTGAAATTCTAATCTACCAAGTTCAGGGCACACATGCAAAAGTTTTCAGACAGTGCCATCTCCCTGAAGAGGACAATTGCATTTTCGTCTTTTCTGTTGCGATCGGTGCATAAAATCCAGCTAAACCGATTCGGTATGGCGATATTAGAATTGAAATTTAATGATTAAATTAATAATTGAAAGCATACTGATTTTCACAAGTTCACTAAGTGCTCATAGTGATGTTTGTTGTGCAACATCGCCAGCAGGTATCTGGAAGCACGTATGTGTATGAATTGATAATTATCCAATGATCAAATTTTCAACGACAAGAGCTTCATCAAGAGATCCTTCACTGATGCGAGGCATTTTTCTGATGTCAAAATCATGCTAAATTCTACCTCCAACCGAGAGAAGGAAGAAACACTGGTTATTTTTGAAAACTGTTTTTGGTTTATTAATAGTATTCTGAAGAGATTAATACAAAATTCATGAGTAATGTCCACAATAAAAAGTCAGGACGAATCTCAGCTGATTCTCTTATCATCGGAGGTTGGTGCCCCTTCGGTTGGTTGGAGTACTATCAGATATTAGTTTTCTGCAATTTGAGTTCCTTAATCTAAACATCTATTTACATTTCAAAAAAGACGATCAAAAAATTTTTAACAAACAAATTTGAAAGAGATACATAAAGATACATTCGCGTAAACTCAGAGGAAATTATTGTTCAATATTACCACTTAAAAGATAAGAAGATTTAATGCCTCTGATGATATGATATGCCTTTAGATACATCAAGTCATTTCCAAGAGAAAATGGATCCCGAATGTTGATTTGTGTTATCATTGATGATCAACTGAGAAATTTAATAGAAAATGGTAAGCGTTAAGGTTGGGAGTGAACTAAGCCACTGTCAAGGATAAGTTACTGCTTATTTTAACGAAGCTCAAAAACAGAGGGCATTACAATGATACAAATCGTCATCTCCTTCATGAAGGAACATATCTCAACTGCGCTGTTTCAGTATTTCATACTTACATTCTTTTGTTCATAGGAGAATCATCGCATGAATTTTCCTTTAAGTTCTGGTAATTTTAAAGACTATGAAATTTTCAGATTCATTCATGCGGTGGTTCTTGCATGAGAAAAAATATGTTCATAGAAGTACTGAAACAGCTCGAGCTAGATACGTTCCTTCTTAAAAAAAAAAACGAAATCTTCATGGGTTTCGTCTATGAAGTGTGTAAAACTTTCAAGTTTCATTAAACATTTGAGTATTGTCAAAAATTATCACGCAAAAAGTGTCTTTTGTTTTTGCCTAAAACTCATAAAAACCCTTCAATGCGACAATAAATACAGTAAAAAGTGTTATTGAGAAAGACAGAAATAAACCAAACAGTTACCATTTGACAAATCGGCACCAATCGATATGTTTTGAAGGAACAGCGGAAGGATCGATAAAATGTAATACTTAAATTTTTGTGAGTTTTGAACCTCGGGGTAGGACGAACTTGGGTCTTATCTTCGCAGCTCCTACAGAGTAGAAGTTTCGAGTAAGTTCAAAGGTCTTCTCGCAACGAAGATGTGGGGGAGGGAGGGTTTGATCCACAGATCAAATAAAACCTTGTTTCAATTGGACAGGAGAGATGAGATAGACATATTCTTCAGGAATGTGCCACAGACTAGTAGAATAAAAGCTCGTTTTTTCCCAGAAAATTTACAGGTAACTTTATTTTTAAGTGATGTTATGTATGAGGTTTATCTTGGTGAATAGAGGCAACCTTGGTTTTTACACCTACATTGACATAAGTATTTGAAGCCTTCATTTAAAGAGTAACTCTAATGTGAGTTTAAGACTACCACATCGATGAGAATCGATCAACATGACGTTAATATTTAATTAAAGCAAAAAACTGCATTTGCAACAAGTCCCATGGTCTAAATTGCGACTATATATTAGGGAATTAAACACATTTTGTTTGAAGTGTGAACGGTAAATTTAGGATAAGAATGAATCCATGAAGAATAAAAAGAGACTTAAAAGATGATAACAAAAATGATTCCTTTCTTGTTCGTGATAAACAAGAGGGATGCACCATTCTAAATTCAACAGCTAAACAATTTAAAAATAAACAAATACAAAAATATATCATATCGTCACGAGTTTAGGAATCAATAAATTTTCTATTTTTCTTTCTTTTTTCAATAAAAATAACCAAAATAAGCCAGAGACTCCAAAAAAATATTCCACCAAGAGATAGAAAATTAGCTAAGCTTAATTAGTCACTTAAAAATAGCTAACAGATACCTTTATTATGTACTGTAGTTGTAGCAATTGAATGATAAATTATACTTTCAAATTTTTTAAAAAAAAGTGTATTTACAAACAACCCAGGAGGGGAGAGAATGAGGGGTGAATGATTTTCCACGACAAGAGGGTGCGAAATCATAAGCACTGGATGTATCACTGACTTGTTTATGTTAAACATTAAGAATTACGCTGGAGCTGAAAATAGGTCATTTGACACAAATAGGCCGAAAAACCGATTTGAAAACTTTCATTCAAAAATATAAACTGATTATCTCAGAAAAATTTTGCTCATGAAAAATGAGAAAATCTTAATGTAATAAAGCGAGTTTATAACAAGCCCATCTGCATATGTATATCGTAAGATTTATCATTTCTTGTAAAAAAAAATAAATCATAATTTTGGGGAGGCAATTATTGTATGATAAGGAGAAAAAGCTATATAAATCAAAGTTTGCTAATGACCGAAGATTAGTAATAATTGCTCTTATTTAGGTAGTATCAGCCAATTGCTTTTTATTAGTATAGATTTTTTTCAGTATGCAAACAAGAAACTTATTTGAGGAGAGTTAGTGTAGGCAAAGCGAACTGCAAAACGATAGTGGTTTGGTGACTTAGCGGTAGAGAGCATGAAACGGGCTGTTCTAGTTTGTTTCTTACTGCCGGGTTCAGCATGCTGACTTGCTCAAGCTTCAAAGCGGGACTGGTCATCCACGCACACCTGATGAACTCTACCAAGAGCCAAACTGATATTGGCGCTGACGACAGGTCCGATATTTTTGCCCATACTGAACTCTCATCAAATGAGTTTCTTGCCCACATTGAGAGGAAATCTATGTAAAAGAAATTGATTGGTTACTGCCTCTTTAAGAACTGCAAAGGACTACTAAACAAGGTGCAACTTTAAGCATTATGATATATCGATGGGTAAAGTGCGAAACCAACTACCACCTTTTGCAATGTTGCAGACTTCCTGTCATACTATATGTTTTCTTTCGAAAACTAGTCAATGAAATTTGTTGAAAATTTCCTTCATTTTTTTCTGTGTTAGCAGGATGTTTTGTGTAAATTTTGAACTATGAGATTGGCATGTTTTTCTTCAGAAAAATAAAATAGGAGCGTAAATTTTGAAACACTGCTCGAGATATGTGGCTTCGCACTTTGGCATTCGATATATTTTTTCATCAAAATTTCACACAGAACACAATTTAGGCTCAGCTATAGGACATTCTTTACAGTTAGAACAACACAGGGTAGAAAAGTAGCACTGATTAATTGAGAGGCCTGCCAATACCGTTGTAGTACATAAATTGATTCAAGTAGACTCCTGGTTTTTTTATGAGTGGGAGATTCAAAGTTTTCATAACTAATGCTGCATTACATAAAAACGTCATGGTCTTGGTTGGGAGTTAATATCAGTTAATTTTGTAGCGCAGATTGAATTCTTCATAATTTGAAGATGTGACATAAATCAGAATGCTTGAATTTGTATCTTGTGAAGAGGTCCATAGTTAAAAGAAAGCTATATTTGTCCGAATTTCTAGTCCACAGAAAATACTGACACTGACCAAAAAATGTTGTATTTGTTTGTTTTTCTCTTCCGAAGTTTTGGAGGAATATTCTTTCGAAGTCATCTGCTGAAAACAAGGAAAATATCTATTTAACCACTGGAAGGTGTTGCGGCTGTTGCAGAATTTTGCGGGACACAAGCTGGAATTGCATTTGACCACTTGCCACTTCGCAAGCATCGAATCATTGATGCTCCTTGAAGATTCAAATTATCATCACAGGTAAATGTTAGCGTCTCGCCGATGCCGTAGTAAAATTTAACGGCAGACATACGCCCGCTAATAACTGTGCCTGGATACGGGCAAGCTTGAACACCTGGAATTATGAAAGAGGCAATGTTTTTTCTCAAAAACGTACATTTAGGTAGAAGATAAAAAACGATAGAATTTACTTGGTCGAAATTGAGGATATACTGTCGACCTCTGAATGAAAAATAAGTGGTGATAGAAGATTAAGGTGATTCGATGGACGCCACATTTTGTGTCAGGACGACGTGCAATATATCGCATCGATTGGCTCTATTTTTTCAGCTACTAATCATTTTCCTCGAATTTTGAGATCGCAATTCTGTTGTCAGGAGACTAAAGCATTCATTTACCAATTTTTACAACAAATTCAACGTAATGAAGGCGTGGATTTTTTGGAGAGAAAATATTGCATTCAAGTGCAGTTTCGATATCAATATCGAATGCGATGTTTTCTCTCTAAAAAACCGCACCTTTATAACGTTTTTTAACGTATGTTGAATATCTTTGTTAAAATTGGTGGGTGAGTGCATAAATCTCCTGACAACAGAATTGCGATCTCAAAATTCGAGAAAAATGACGAGTGGCTGAAAAAATGGAACGAATTGATGCGATATATTGCATGCCGTTCTGACACAAAATATGGCATCCAGCAAATCGCCTTAAGTCCAAAATTTCAGGGGTCTATTCTTGAATTCCATTTTTCTTTACCTTTCAAGTAAATATGAGACCTTTTTCGGAGTACAATTTTTTCCGAAACAGCTTCTCCTCGAAGATGCAAACTATAAAAAGTTTACAGGAAGTATGCTTTTTTGAAGATATTGGCAACAAACAGGGAAAGAATTGGACAAAAGCAGCACATCTGAGCAGTTTTAGCCGGTCAAAATACTAATTATTTATCTAAAAAAGGAGAGAACTCATTCAAAAGATAGGGACTTGGATGTTCGTAGTTATTACAACTACGAACATCAAAAATTAATTCCTGATAAATTGAAGCTTTCCAAAAAGAGTTTGAGTTTCCATGTATAAATAATGATTAGAGCGCTAGAATCACCTCTTAATGCAGGGATTCTCGTGTTTGATACATGAACTTTGCCACGATGTTGAAGATTTACTTCCTCCAAATTTGGAGGGCGGAAGCATTAAGAGTGAGCAGTTTTGGAAAGAAATTGTATAACTTCCTGCCATGCGAAGAAAAAAAGACGCTGTGTAAAAATTCGAGAGGTGCAAAATTTTCTCCAGTAAAAGTATTTTCAAGGATATTTATGAATATTTCCTCTTGAAATTTTTAGACGATTCATATCTGATTGCAAATAAAATTCTCTAAATAAGTGGAGGAAAAATATTCACAGATTTCCCTCAGAAAATCTATTTTGTCAAAGGAAATTTGGTAAAGTCTGAACTTCTGAAGGTTCATACAGTATTTTCTATTTTTGAGGCAGATTTAATGATTTCTCATTGACGCAAGAAATCAACTTTGAAATGACTTTGCATTTCATATTACATATTTTGTCTGAAGGGCGTAATCATGGCTATTATTCTAAACATTCAACTAGTTTTTTCAAAAACAGCAATCAACTTTCAAAGGTAGTTCTTTCTTCTAAACCCTTTATTGCATAGCGTTGCATGAAAGCAACAAATGTTTTTCAGCTTTATTTCTATGCTAGAGTATTAAATTGAATCAAAGCAAGAAATAATTTTTGGGGAACATTAGAACTCTGATCTCCTTGCTTAGAAAAAACCATAAAAATCGATTCCAACCGACTCTAGTGTCAAAAAAATACTGTACAATGTAGATTTTCTCTCCAAAATCAACGATTCGCTCATGCAACAAAGGGTTAAACTGACCTGTTTGGACTATTTTGACAGTTTAACTCCCGAGTAGGGCCTCTGGACAAGGTATAAACTAAAGCACAACGCTATGTGTTTTCTCTTCAAAATTCTACGACAAAAACGAATCACATAAAGGGAAGTCTGAAAATCAACTTTGGAGCAAGATATGACTGTTCTCTATTAACATAGGTTTAATGGCAAAGATACAAATGATGTCATTTGTATAATCCAACTTCCATTTGGACGGCGTTAAGCAGAATGGAACCAAGCCACATCAGCTACTGCCAAATTTAGTCGGGCAATTTGATTTTTCACATGAAAACGGTTGTGAGGATTTGCGTGCAAATTTCAGTGAATTTCCTCCTTGGTGCGAAGCAAATTCCTTAAAATCTTAAAAGGAATCCGCACGAGCGTTCTCTCGTAAGAAATTGAATCGCCCAGTTAAATTTGGCAATAGCTGATGTGGCTTGGTTCCTTTCTGTTAAACGCGGTCCATTTGATCTACGTTTTAAAGACCTGTCAATATTTTGATCAGGAGTTGAATTTAAAACTTCCCGCTGTGTGAAATGTTTTCAATGTGAGATTTTGAGGAGAAAACATATCATGTTTTCTTCTACTTCAGACCTTCTCTAATGGCCCATTTCCAGGTTTTCCTGATCTTCAAAAACACCAACAGGTCATGAAGGTGAGCAGGTTATAGCTCGGGGAATTTTGAAGGCTGCATGGACCATGCGACAAACAACACACACGATCCTAGAAAAACTTGTCAGGACTTACATTTGGGTATAGGACCAGACCACCTGCCACTATCTTGACAAATTATCACAGAGGAGCCTTCTAACATGAGCTGAGGACTGCAACCGTAATGTATCAAGTCGCCAGCTCTGTAAAGTTTTCGTCTGCTCAGAGAAAACCCCTGATCGGGTAACCCCGGCCACTCACACTCCACCTCTAAAACAAAGTCCAGCATCCAAATATAACTCTTCTCTATCAAACTTCCGCAGTTTTCTTTTATTTTAAAGTTGTTTCGTCCTTTCCAACATTGATAAATATTTTATCTTCATCGAAGTGAATCTCCTGTTTTTCAATTTTTACCAAATATCTATCTTGATACTGCGATTACTTATCTTTCTCTATTAATGAGTCTGCTTCCGTAAAATATTAATCTGGGACATGCAGAGGGTCTTCGAAACATTTTCTTCTGCATAAAGATTCGGATAGGGCTGTTACAGAAACTTTATTGGGAGTAAAATTAAATTTACCAATTATTTCTCTTGTTTTACACTTTACGAAACATGGGCATGCTAGCCTATGCAAAAATATTTCACGTTGCTAAAAAAACGTATATGGTATAAGAATTGATATCGGAACAACGGATTTAATTATTTAGCCATAAAACTGGTTGTTCATTTACTGAAAATATCACTTTTAAAGTCGTTTATCTCACTGTTTTGTACCAAGTTATTACTATGTTATTGATATTTTGACGAGAATGAAAATTTTTACATTTTTACGAAATATTTTACATCTTAGGAATGGATCATAGGATTCTATTGTATATTCTATATAGTTGTGGGGATTATATTAAAAAATATGTTGAATATTGCTAAAAGAGGATTTAACGCTCAAGTATATTTTACAGGATTCTGTTGATGTTTTGCGCTCAAGGCAGAGAATAACGATTTTACTGTAAGCTGCGCCAAGCTGACCAACTATGGTTGAATGAATGTTTGATGAGAAAACAGAGAAATTATTTTAAATTTTCAGACAGAGTACGGAAGAAGCGAAAAAGTGTTAAAATTTGGTGCTGTACAAGAATGATGTCTTGAGGTGAGGTATGAAGTGCAAGATGACAAGAATTTCAAAAAAATGACATCAATAACACAAAAGTTCTTCGGTCCTGTCTAGGTTTTATTGTCATGGGCAGGTGTCTGGTTCTTGAAAGATCCAAAGCAACATTCTTTTTCTAAAACTTAAAAAATGGAATGTAATTTGGTGAAATGAAAGATGTCAGTGATACATGCAGCTAAACTAACTATAACGCTTACACCTACAAAGTATCAAACTAAAAAAGTATAAAAAATCCACTCAACTGGCAGTTGCGGTTGGATAAATGAGCCAATTCAACACAGATCGTATGCTGAACGCAAATCCTGAGTTCTTTTTCCGAAAAACTGTAGTTTGGAGCTTTAACTTTCTAATGTAAGTAAAAACAATTTTAATTAAACCTGGTAGTAAGATTTCAGCGTCAAAGATCTCAACAGGCTGGAGGCTCTCATCATTGCTCTCTTGCAAAGTAGTAGAAATGGAAAAACGGCCTTTCATCATCTGGGGGACCAGAAAAAGCCTAGTAGGCAACTGTAGGTCAACTTTGTTTGAATCTATTATTGGCTGTTGCAATAGTTTGGAAAAGGGGAAAGGGGGACAGTTTTTTGGTCACAAACTTTTTGGAGCAATAATTCTGAGATAGGACATGTTTTCAGGAGTAAATACATCAGAAAAAAGTCTATCTTTCTATTTTTGGTATACAATTGCTCCTTAGGTATACCAAAATAATCCGAGACCACTTAGCATTGAAATCTAATTAAAAGATCTAAAAACTCAAAAGTGATAAGAAAGGTTTTTGACTTACTTGGCAATAGAGGGTCCACAATTCCTTGGAAATTAATTCTTGGAGTATCAAAAAACACACGCAAAATGCAAAAAAAGTTACACCAAGCACACAAAATCACTATCAGGAATATTTCATCTAAGAGTGGGTCAATGCATTAGCATTTTAACTACAAAACACAGCACAAGAACGTGGCAAGCTCAAACAAAATAAGTAAGGGGAGACCAAAAGAAAAGACTGCCGTTTTGCTTTGCTTGGCAATAACTCGACGTTCCGGCTCCGTCGCCTGGAGATGTAGCTTGGAGCTATGCAGAGTCGGCACGACTCGCAACGCACGATTTCAGTAATAACAGCTTATTTGTTCTGATGGAACACGGACTCATGGGCTAAATTCAGCAAAAAAACTGATGAAAATATTGGGAGCATATGTCTCACGGTTCAGAGTTCTTCAAGATGACACTGGTTTGCATTATGGGCACGTTATGAGGCAAGATCTTATGACATTTTTGATCAAATTAAAGGACAAGTAAGGGTATTATTCTTAATGGGATAAATGAGGGAAAAATTAAGTTGAAAAGCAAAAAAGATAAAAAAATCAATGCAAGCAAAAGATACAACTGTTGCCTAACTACTACCAATAGGATAGCAGTTTTCTCTACATGCATCGAAAAAAAAACAACCAATAATACATATTTTATAATTAAACATTCACTGTCACTGGAGAGATATCACTTTAAACCTCAGATGAATCTGTGAATTATTTGGCTTTAAGTTCAAAGACATTCTGATATGCCAGAGAAATAAGATTTTTCGACGGACAAAGACTTGTGCCAGGGCATAACAGTGTGAACAAGGTTTAAGATATAACTAGGACTCACCGGCGCATTTCGGGAAAGGCTGCGACCATTCTCCAGTCACTTGACAAGTTGAGTACGCCGGCCCACTCAAACCGTAGCCCTGCGTGCAGCTGAACATCATTTGCCCGCCAACTGCACGACTAATGACCGCTGCTCTCAGATTAGGGTCCGTCAAGTTCCCTGGATCAGGACATTCTACACCTGAAAAAAATTTCAACAAGTGTAAGCATTATTTAATCAGAAAAATGCAGTTTCATTTATATGATTAGGATTTAATAAAACAGGAATATGCAGTTCTTTTCATTTTGAATACACCCATATGCTACCGTGCAACGCAAAAACGGCGTGAACGCCATTTTACATTTTTTGGAAACAATGTACGCAGGAAAACTTGTGTACCTTGGGACAATGTTTTTACAGAATTCTTTCGCAAATACTATCAAGAGCTTAACCTGAAAATTTGAGGCGCATGGGTGAAACAGTTATTATTTCATAAAATGTTATGTTCCAAAAACCATGAGAAAATCTCGATGGGTTTACGGCGTACCTGCTTAACACGGCAGTATGGTATACATGAGATTAAAGTATTTGTATGATGTTTTAATGCTTAGGTAAATTTTGGCGCTTAAAATGACTGTAATTTCAGAAAAATTGAGGCATTAAAACTCTCATGAAAAACTGTCACATCCAAAAGATGTTCGAAAAAATATTTGGGCTCTTTACCCTTCTGTTTGAGGAGACACATCAATTCTAAACCAATTTTGACTCAAAAACTTCAGAATTAGAGATGGCTGTTAATTATTGACAGTTTATTTGTAAATTAATTACTCTACTTTGCTAAGAATATCTGTAAGTAAAAATAAACTGAAAGTAGAGAAACCAAAATTATTAATTTAATGAAAAACGTAAAATCTACATCTGAATTCATCACCGTCAAAATCTTTGCAATTGCTGATTTTTCTCTGTCTTTCCCTTTTACATAATTCGAACTGCCTTCAAAATAATTGCATCAAACATTCTATATTTTTTCTTTGTGAAATTTTTCAACCAATTTTAATGGAATTTTTGAAAAGCAAAGAGACAGATTCCTATGTAGGTAACTTTTCTACACCGCTGATTTCTTGATCACAGCCTTTTGGCGGTGCAGACTTAATTCAAAAGTAGTAACGGACGGTAGTGAAAATATATTTTCTATATTGGCACAGTAGTTGTGATTCAGATTAAAATTAAGTCAGAGGAATGTTTTTTCTTGTCTCTTGTACAAATATTCTTTCTGTATTTAATTTTCAAGAAGCACTTAGAATGTTCAATGCAAAGTTTCACTGTCGATAAAAAAAACAAATAGACCATGTGTGACATGGACTTCATCAGGTATTTTTGACAGCAAAGCAAGTCAAATTCTAGCATGAGAGGGCACAAGGACATAAGACACCTCTAAACCTCAGCTTCCTTCACGGAAAGAATCCGACTTGAAATGGTTACATAGGTTATATTCCTTTAATGTTATTATTTTGAGCTCTTTTTATTTTGAATTTTTGTACGTACTCTTTGATCAGAACACATCTTAATAAAAGTAAATACATGCAAAAAACAATTATGGTATGATTTATGTTACAAAGGAAAGGCAAAAATGAAAATATCAATGGTTGAATTTGGAAAATGCACACCTCCGATAGAAACATTGCAAATCTCTGCTTCTGATTTCTTTTCTTAAAAGAGAGCAAACCGGCAATTTTTCTCAATATTTTCCAAGAATTTTCTCTCTTTATTCCGTTATATTCGCAAAAAATTTCAAAAAAATATTTTGGTTAGTTTCCATTTAAGAAATAAAATGCGATTCAAAATTTTAAAATGATGACGCATTTTATTTCCTTCAGCTATTGATAAGTTTTCTGGTTTTTTGATAGCCTTGAAAAATAAACACCAATGAAGTCCAAGCAAAACAAAGACAAGATGAGAATGGGTTTTGTAAAGGGATGTAAAATATTTTGAATTATGGCACTGTGTGATGCGATAAAACATTTATTGAGGGAGTGAAAATTGGGAAGCAAGCATAGCATCATTGAACGGATTTGTATTTATTTCTTTCATTTGGCCCTCATTAAAAAGCATTAAATGAAGGATCGAAATTGAAGGGGGAAATGCATGCCTGATTTTTAATCACTGAGAAATGAGTAACATTATACTTTAATTTTTGTATCATGAATTATTTAACACCACTTCTAAAATTTTTCTTTTAAGCTTCTCTCTTTCATGCTTTACAACAGTTTTTGTGCGTTTTCTTTAACTTGGCTTTTTCAATATTTTGCAAAGGTCGCTCTTATTCTCTTCATAATCAAGGTGCAAGTTACCTAGAAAGAGCCCTTAAGAGCAGAGTATCAAAGTATCAAAATGGTAGTGGAATATACTACTAAAAAGTTTGTAGAAAATAATATTTTGCATTCCTGGACATTGAGTGTTGTGCAGGATGGATTTGACGCAGGGGTAACTTATACAGGGTGACAAGTGTTCTTCAATTACAAAATACCATGACTTTTTTGGGGTTTTAAAACATGAATTTTCCGTAAATTTTAAATTCTTATGAAAATGGTTTTTAAAACAAAATTTATCGCAAAATCTTTTGCAATTCATAAAAATCTAACAGTCGAGTACTTAAAGACAGAGATTCTACTTTTCATCGACAGAGCCGGAGCCCAGAAGAAAATGATTAAATTTTTTGGCCAAAAGAAATAATTACAAGACTTTACAGAAAATTCACTGATTTTTCCAGACTTTTCAAGAAATTGTCGCCCTATTAAAGCAGAAAACAAAATGAAAATAAATAATTTTTAGTGGTTTTGACTTGGCATTAGGTAAAATGAGGATTTAAGTTGATTTACTTGATTCAGAATCATACTTTCGCACACTGGTAGTGGCGCGCTCCAGTTGCCTGATGGCAAACAAGTAATTTCGCTCGCACCTATCAAAGCATTACCGTTCCCACAAGTGAATTTGATGAGACTGTTCATTTTAGTTGCTTGTGAACTTATGGTCAAACTCCGTCTCGGGGGTAGCACTGGACAGTGAACAGCTAAACAAGAAAAAAAAAACTGGTAAGTATTGTTAAGAGCAAAAGAAAAACCAATGCACTCTTAACCGTTCTACATGTAAGAATCCCTCAAGCAGCTTCATGGGTAGCAGTGATTGCGATAAGTAACAATTTGTTGAGTTTTATTTAAGAAACAAACATTGATTTGTTGAAGAAATAACTTTTCCCCACCGACTTTTTACACTGTAGTCTTTTCTCTCTTCATAGAACAACAGCCGCTCCAGGCTTGCTTCCATCTTCAGGTTTTTAAAAACAAAGAATGAAAATAAAACTCTTAGTTACATTTTTCTTTTTAATTTCTTGCTTTTAATAAAAACCAAACAAAGAGCGCAAGTCTGTAGCAGCTGTTGTTTTAAGAAGAGAGAAAAGACTACAGTGTAAAATCAGTAAGGGAAAGTTGATCCCTTAAAAAAAGTTGCGATTTGATTAGTAAAGTATTGAGATTTAATCAAAATCAAAAGTAGTGATGCAACGCAATAAAATGATTACTTTGGAATGATTGAATTTACGCAACATTGATATGAATATCAGGAAAAAAACTGTGATAAACAAATACATTGTAATGAAGAAGCAATTTTATCAACGGGAATACATTGACTGATTTTATCTGAATTTAGTCAAATTTCAGTCAAATTTTGATGATCCTCTTGAATTTATCACAATAAAAAGGCAATGTAATTGCAACCACACTTAACAGGGTTGCAATCTTTTAAATCAATCATTAAAAAATGGAGAATGAGATAGAACTAAAATTGCTTCATAATTTTTTAGGCAGAAAATTACAAACGATGAAACTTTAAATCTCGTGAGTATATTCTTCCTAATCTAAGTTAAATTCACAGAAATTTTCAAAGCATTCGGTAGTATAGTCTTCTGTAATACAAATAAAACATGAGAGAGAATTAGTCAATGTGGAATGTCGTTAGGTTATTTCCGGTTGAATTTGTTTGATTGATAGACGTCTTGGTTTGCAGCATTGAAGACTTCCCAATATACTATAATTATTATATGGACGTATTTATGCTAAGAGGAACTATGTTGCACGCAAACCCTTTGTACATAGTTCCTTTTAACATGAATACGTCCACATGTAAACTCAACAGCAATTTATGAACACTGCCGTGATTTATCTTGCAGCACCTGTGTTTATAATTTACTTCTCGGTTGCAATCATAACAGGCGGCTACATATTCTAACCATACTTGCATTGTCATTGCTGTTTGATGTTAATATGTTTAGGTTCTTTACACAAAATAAAATTGGTAGTGGATGATGTGAATTGTTAGTTGAAACCATGGGTGTCATGTCGTAAAACGCCATGAACTTCAGGCCAATGAAAAACGTTCTTCAAGTTGCTACAATTTCGAGCCTTTTTCTCCAATAAAAATCAGCTGTTTTCAGCATTTTCAAGCTCAGATATGCTCTTACTATAATTTACCTCAGAGACACCCGATTTCTAGATGGTTCTAGAATCAAGCAAAAACTCTAATGTCTATGTGCGATTTTCTGTGAAAAAAATGATCCACGGTTTTTGATAAGCTCCAAATAAAATATACCACACTCTGTTAATGCAGAGATGTGAATCCTTATATGATAATCCTGATAAAATGGACGAAGTTTGATAGAAATGAACCAAGTCACTAAGCAGTCAAACTGAGAAAAAGAGATATGAGGTTCTGTTACTCTATAAGAATCAATGTTTGAGATGAAGTTCAACAGCAATTTTCAGAATTGGATTATTTACCTAGAATTTTCGACACAATTTTATGCAGCTGATTACGCTCAAAACCACTGATAACTCCTGTTTTTTTTCACAAAACGTGCCTTAATTTCTTTTCAAGAAATTCTGTGCAAATGTTTTCAAGCCATGAAACATTGCAAATACAATGGTCACTCCAAAAGTAAGTTCCACAGTCTTATTTCTACAGAACCCTCAACGATAAACAAATGCAGTTCAAACGGGTGCATCCCTCAAAACTTAGCTTTTCAACGATCTAAAGAAGTTTGAAACTGAGACACAATTAGTTTTATAGCATTCATTTATTATCAACGGCTTCGAAGAAATAAGACCGCGGAACTTACATTCGGAACAACCTTGGTATGAGCGTCGAGACACTTCTGGTCATTCTTTTTTAAATTGATTTTTATTTTCTTCTTTTATTCCCTCCTTGACACAGTAAAAAAGGTGGGTTCCGAGGCTACACAATTACCTGTCACGACTATTTCAATGGAATGTGCATGTCGAGTCGGAGTTTCGCAAGTGAAAACTCCTGAGTCATCTTTGCTTGCATGGAAAATACTGAGTCTATATTCGAGTTGAGAGTCTCTTCCTGGATCAGCGTTCCAACCCTCTGGGTATTGCCTGCAAAGTACAAAGGCGAGAATTAAGATTACATGAATCATATGCAACTGGATCACTACTGCTAGTTCCTGGTTCATGAAATTACTTTAGGTAGGACGATAATAACAAGCCATATGAATCAAAGAATATTTCAATTCATCACGAGAGCTAAGGAATGCACTGCGCTGGAAAAACAAGTTTGCTAATAATGAAAGAGCTCACTCCATATGGGCTAGTATTTTGATTTATTTCACAGTTGAAATCGGATTACATTTGGCAATTGTGAGCTGAAATATCTGGCTCACCTTAAAAAACACTTATGTGCATAGGGAAACTAATGGCACATATATTGTTTCTAAACTGAGCTAGAAGTTTGAGTTCCAAGTCGCAAAATGTAGACCAATTTTTCGTCTGCTCAACCGCACACTTCAGTCTTCCTAACCAAACTGTGTCAAATAAAGGTAAAGCAGGGTGACAGGTAATTCCTTCACTTTTTGCAGTTTTTGAACATGAAATTCCATGAGTTTCTTACGACTTTTCAATGGTTTTTTGGGAGGGAACAATTTCTTATGAAACTGCTTTTCACAAAAAAATTTAAGCGTTAAGTCACTTGATTTTGAAAGAATCTAAAATTTGAGAACTTACAGAGAGCAGTTCTAATTTTTGTTGAAAGAGCATGTAAAAGCGGTATAAAATAATTAAATTTTACAGCAGGAAGAAAGAGTTCCAGGATTCTGCAGGGAATTTCCCTGACTTTTCACGGGGACTTTTCAACAATTCTTTCACGCATTATGGGGAAGTTTTCTGACAGTTGAAGGTATGCCTGATGAAAAAGACATGCTTAGGAATAGTTTTCAGGCAAAATTTGTTGTTAGAAACGTCAAACTCATTCTCAAAAGTAAATAAAGGTGACTCAACAATTTTTCCCTGACTTTTTAAAAGTCCCTGACATTTCCTGGTATTCCCTGACCGAGCAACCCTGTTTCCAGTATTGGGAAAAATTCCCTGACTTCTTCAGATTTTCAAGGACTTCTCAGAAGCTTGTCACCCTGTAAAGGTGACACAGACCTACAGTTTGGTTATGCGAATTACACAAGACACTGATTGATATAGACCAGACTCATTTGGTAATATCAATTTTTTTCTCTTTCTTTAAAGCGCTTTAACTGCTCGAATATTGTTTTTGTTTTTCTTTGTTCTGATAAAGCGTTTTAACAGACCTTTGATGCTTCATAGAAAGGTCAAGAGCAAGGGCTTAAAATATCACATTTGAATGAAAGTTGAAGTCGTCAATAGAATATACATAAAAATTTACTCATGAGCATTCTGCTATTTGTTTTCCATTTCCACTTTTTGCGATAAATGGAATACAAATGCCAGAATGCTCGTGAGTAACTTTTTATAACAGATTTACCTGTAACTATGACTGACATTCCATTTTGGAGTGCCAAACCGTCGAATCCATAGACACTCCATGTGCAAGATTGTGCCAGGATAAACAATGAGCTTCCCATCGTTACTTTGAGCGATCGGACCCTGTTGATGCCGGAATAAAATCGTAGGAGGTTTTTCCACTGAAAGAAATATCAAATATAATAAAAAAAGGTGCGAGAGAAAACGAGAGGAATGGATGAATTTGTAAAAATTCATAAACATATGTCATTTTAAGAGCATATGAATGGCTAAAAGGCGAGACCGCGTATATATCCATTAGCAACTTTGAGGGCTTCCTGTCATATTTTATTTTTTCTTTTGACAACTAGTCAACGTAATTTCTTGAAAAAATCCTTGATTATTCTTAGTAAATTGGGTTGTTTTTGAACTGAAAAGCTGAAGTAAGGTAGAAAAAACTTAAAATCTTACATGCATAATCGTTTTCTTGATTCAAGCCAAAACAGGATGGCTTTTGGCCTTCCCATTCGCCACCAACACATTTCCTGAAGTTGGAACCAATTAAAGCGTATTTTCCGATGTCTGTGCATCTGAAAACCTGAAATAATTTCAAATTATTAAGAGGGACCTGAAACCATCGTGTAGAAGAAATTGCATCATCATTCATGTTCATCACTGGTTCTTGTGAAAAGCTCTAGACTGCTTGGAGAGTGTGATTTGCCTTTTCAAAAAAACTTGAAAATTGCAGAACAAACTAATTTATTGCGCTGAGAAAATTCTTGAAAAAAGTGTAAGATTAGTGCGCACTATCAACGAAGTGCCTTCAGACGCAGATAGAAGGAATTCCATGACTTTTCCAGGTTTCTCCTTGCCAAAATAATAAATTTTTCAGACTTTTCACATCGACAATTTGTATGCATAAAACTGAAAATGAAAAATTTTATGCATTAATTTCACTGCAAATGACAGAATTACGACAACCTTTTTTTCTTCAAGTATTACTCAATTGGTTTACTAAAATTGCCATTACGCAATGAAAATCACTCCTCCATACACAGTTAGGAGCTTGTGATTCAGAGCATTGAAATCTGAACCAGACTGACAATGAGACCTGTTTAAGTGTACGGACAGCGCTGACGTTTTCCAGATTTCAAGTTCCAAGATTTTTTCAATTGTCTTGTCTTATTCATAACATTCCCTGGCTTTTTCATGATGGAATTTCCAGTTTACAAGACTAGTAAATCCTTAATAAATCTGGACTTATGTCCGAGTATCATATAAGGCTGTATGTATCAAATAAAATCATTTTCATTTTTAAACCATAAAATTATCTGACTTTTTCAAGACTCAACAGTATTTTTTTAGTATAATTTCTCAAAAAATTATTTTCACAAAAAAATATCAGAGAACAGTGCCTTAAAATTAGAAAAAATTAGAATTCAAGAACTTAAAGGCCGAGAGCCTAATTTTTAAACATGACGTGTGTGAAGTGGTAGAAAGTAATCAATTTTTTCCAATGGAAGAAAATTTCAAGATTCTGCAGCAAAATTCCCTGACTTTCAACGGTTTGTCAAAATTTCCTTACTTAAACATGTTTTTGGATACTTCTATTTTCTACGTATCAAATAATCATTTTCTAAAGTTACTTTACTAGCCATGTTTCAAATCACAGTCTTTTGATGATACGGAGCTTAGTCAGACATCCAAGGGTGACATCCCAAGGTCATTATGGTCTGTTTTCAAGATATTTTTTCAATCCTAGAGTCCGTTTCTGTAGTGTTTTTCCCCACTATTTCTAAAGTATTCCAATAATCCTCAATTATCCTGCGTAAATTTCTGCCACAAATCACCAGATAATCAACGTTCAACTGCGCCCTTCTCCCAGAGCTATGTCTTGACAGTTCATCTCCTTGAAAAAACTGTTATTTTGAGTCTGTTGCTCATGCAGAGAAAAAGGAATTTCTCATCATTTACCAAAGTGGTGCCAGCAGGGAATTCCATGACATCTTCAGCAATCAGTTGATTTTCAAAAAACGTAGCAACATTGGGCTCAGTGTTTCTAAACGTACATGTTGAGTTATCCTTTGATGATCCATGGTCAGATGGAGTTTCAATGTCTGTAAAATAGCAATTTATTGTACATTATTATGAGCAGCTCCACGAATAATGAGAGGAAAAAAATGAAATTTTGATGTCATATCTATCCATTGCACAAATTGATTTACTGATTCCTAGACTTGGTGATGCCAGTTATCAGAATGTTTGAAGCTAGCTAACTGAGACTCCGGCAGATTCATTAAAGAACAGCCACCTGAGGGTTGTAGAAACCATCTGCAGGCTGATTATTGAAACTGATAGACAAAATAATAGACTAGGAGGACATAGGAAACATGGAGTGATCGTACTGGTAAAGGCAGTAGGCTGCAATGGACATAGGAGGTAAGTAATGGACTAACTAATAGCAACCCAAAAGACACTCATACAAAGTCAGCGAACATTGTCAAGCAATGTGTGGAGGTAGTAGCACTATATATATGGGTTTGTGTTGGTAGCCGAGTGCTAGAAATAATGCAAAAAAATGTTTTCAAAAAAACACTTACATTTTACTAATAAAGTACCGAAGCTTTTCGAGGCGGACGCCTCATCGTCAGGGTAACAACAAAATTAATATCACAAAGGCCGTTGCCATACTTTAAATTTCAAACTAGGTAACAAGTGATAACAAGCTATTAGATCAGTCTTACTAATCAAAACAAAGTCAATAACTCAAATCTTTGACTTTGTTTTGATTAGTAAGACTGATCTAATAGCTTGTTATCACTTGTTACCTAGTTTGAAATTTAAAGTATGGCAACGGCCTTTGTGATATTAATTTTGTTGTTACCCTGACGATGAGGCGTCTGCCTCAAAAAGCTTCGGTACTTTATTAGTAAAATGTAAGTGTTTTTTTGAAAACATTTTTTTGCATTATTTCTAGCACTCGGCTACCAACACAAACCCACACTCATACAGTTAGTCCATTATTTTCCCCCTTTTCTAGAACAACCACAACCAACTGTCTTTATGAAGCTTCTTTAGAAACTCTATCTCCACTTACAAAGAAATGTCTGATCTTACGAGCCTAATGTTTTGTGTTTCATATCGATCAAACTATTTGGATTGTCAAAGGAACTTTCCTTTGTCGAACTGAACATTCAGTCATGAGATCAAACTCGTCGATTAAACTGAACTGATCAAAGAAAGGTCATAAAATGGTATGTTTGATTCTAAAAGCTGGAATTTTGCTTTGGAAAAAAGTTCTGTCATTGAGGAACACTGAATTCAGTTTACACAATTAAACATTTTTTTCAATACAGGAATGATAAGAAAGGAAGAAAATCAATTTTACCAAATATGTTTATTTGGCTTTAAACTACTTACGTACGTCAGTATAGTTGTGGATATGAGCTTTAATAAACTAAATTTTTCTCGTTTATTTAAAGGAAAAACTTATTTCATTTGAACTGCCAACTTTTAGAGGTGTCGTCAGCTAAGTTGCAATTGTTTACTTTCGGTTTGCAGGCGTTTTCGCGTCACTACTATCCACATGAAAACATCTGACTCTCTCAGAGGCAAGAACACAAGCTTAGATAAGTTTTTTAATACTTTCAACCCTGTAACACTTTAATTTTTAGCCACACAGAAATCACAACCACAAAAAAGTTGCAAATCATAACTGATAAGTAGTTCTTTTACCATACGATCATGAGACTGATGTTGTCAATGTGGACAGTAGCAAACGCCGCTTTGTTCAGAGGCCCAAATTCGTCGTTGGCACTTGCAAACCGAAAGTAAACAACCGTCAACTTAGCTGACAACACCTCTAGGACGATAGTGTATATATTAGTGTATTATAGTGCATGATCACGGGTAACACTGATTATTTAAATCACTTTATCTCCAAAATATTAAAGTAATATGCAATTCTGTAATCCTCGGTCGTGGAATTATTTTCAGGAAAGAGAGACCATACCACATGAATGTGATCGTCCAAGCCAGTTACCATCTTCACAGATTATCCTCCAGGATAATTTTTCTCCCATTATGTTTCCGATACAATTGAAAGTAATTTCTGTGCCGTCAGGAAAACTGAAAAAAAAAACCCATCAAATATTATGATACAAGATACAGAGAGAAGGTACCATGATAGTTTTCATCAACCTGATTCTAAATCTCAAAAAAAAAAAAAAAAAAATCTGAGTATCCTCAGCGTCTTTTATCTCTCGCACTTTTTTGTTTCTTACATGATTCCTTCTCAAGATTCCTACCAATCTAAGGAATACTAAAATAAAAATAGATCCTTTAAGAATTGCTGACACTTTACTGCTTTTTATAAAAGTTTCTGAGGAATTACGAGTTTACTTTGAGAATTCATTCGCGGTCTTCATACAGTTTTAATTAAAACACAGTAAGTCTATAAAAAATACTTTACTCCAATATTAAGCATTATCTTTGCACAATTGTATCCCTGCTTATCTCATCAAAACCCGATTAGCAGAGAATATTTTGAGATTAAAAGCTGTAAATGGCAAAAAGGATCATGGTTTTCCATTGAGAGAGCCAACTCAGACTTGTTAGGTGCCTTTACACCATGTCCTGCGTAAATTCTATATGCTTTTGTTGCCATTTACAGGTTTCAATTTCAATTTCAAAGGGTACAATTTGATTTGGTGCTACCAAGTGTTATGTACATGCATTTGAACGACATAAATTAGAAAAAAACTTATGCAGATTTTGAAAATTTTACAGAACTGATACCCTTGCTTAATTTTTCCAATCACCTATACATCGTTAAGGAAATAGTTTGGTCAGCAAACCTAATTTTTCAGAGCAATTTAGACTTTTCACAGTGACAATACCATGAAATTTGAACAGAACATCAGCACAGAATAGGGAAACAACAAAAAAATTCAAACTGTCGAATATTCTTAGGATTCACCCTCTGCCAGCATCCTGTACTTTTTTGCATGGCACTTTCTGAAATTAAAATTAGGATTGTATTTGGTTTTGAGGGGGGAAAAAATAGAATCTCTTTTCTTGGATGACGCTTGTCTTTGCGATGATGTATGGATATCTAATGGAAAAATAAAGTGAGATTTATCTTCACCTTCTCTCCTTTTCAGTAACTTGAACACCATTCCGGAAGACGATGGAATTATGGACTCGGGCTGGAGGACCACACGAGCCTTTCAGACCAGCGATGAGATCAACAGTTCCGAGTTCTCCACCTCTTAGAATATCTCCACCAGGGATAAACAGACCTGGATCTGAAAAAATACATGAATACATCAGCAAAGGTACTGAAGTAACAAACTTGTGAGCTGAACTCATTGGTAGTAAAATCGTGGGTACTTAGTGCTATTTTAATTTTTTTTTCTTTTAAGCATAAGTCTATGAATTGAAGTTACTGAGCAGTATTACACTGACTAGAAATGAACTGAGTTTAATAGAAACACACTAAGTCACAGTAAGTTTGAACCAGGGAAAGGAGGTTTGAAGTTTTGTTGCTCCATAAGACTTAATGATGAGGATGAAGTTCAACAACAATTTTTATGTTCAAAATATTTTTTGTAGATTTTGAATTTTTAATACGAAAAAAATTTAAGACTAGTTTAATTCAAGGCTACAGATACAACTATGATTCCCCCAAAATGTGACTTGATATGTTTCCGTTGAACTCGGTTCAAAGAAAAAGGAATCTTAGAGTCCGTAAACTCAAAACTGAGATATTGGCACTGATGCTTCGAGGGGTGTATTGTTAATAATATCGCATACGAAATGCACAAAAATGTCAAATCCAATTAAAATTCTGTTTACTCAGAGTTTGAAGTTTAAAAAACAGTGTTTCCAGAAAAGCTACCTGCAGTTTTGCATGCTTAAGGCTAAAAACTATCAGATAAAATACTACTTGCGCTCAAATACAATTATGCTTAGATAACAAAACCGAAAGGCACAAAAACAAAACAGAAACTAATAGAAGAAACGAGACAACAAACTGTGAGCTGTTTGAATGAGAAATAATTGAGAACTAAGAATTGGAAACTTTAATGACTAAAACTCACAAGATAATTTGAAGTAAATACTGCCGCGTTTCAGGATCTTGAGGTCTCTTTTGCAAGACTGAGATTCTGACCCAGAATTTCTGAGTTAGAACTTCAGCCATTAAGAAGGGACCACAAGGTCATAAAATACATTGGTTCTTACTTTATTTTGTGAATTTGGATTATTTAACTTTCTGATTCTCTTTTCTTTCTTGTGCCTAACTTATCTGTTTTGCCAACAGCGTTGGAAAAAAAAATCCACTCAACTACTTGCAACTAGTTTTTCATTATAGATTTTTCTCTGGCAAAGAGTTTGGCTTGAAGCAAACTACAACATGTTGAACAGGTTGACATTTACAGGTCTCTGTTTCGGTAAACATTTTGTACATCAATTCTTCAATTCTTTATTCATTGTGGTAAAAGGTATCTGTTCAGGAAATATGAAATGCAAAGAAGTGCGATATTTTTTACACTTGAATTTCCTGCCGGAAAAAACTGGTAAATATTGAGTGGAATTTAACACTCCCCACTGTTCACTGCAGTGATCACGATGATTGATGAGATGCTTACCTCTTTTACAACCTGGAGCCCATGGTCGCAACTCGCCCAGCACACACTCGATTGTGCCAGTTGTGCTTTTTATGTATTCATTGTCACAGGTAAATATTACAGAAGATCCATTTCCGATTGTGAGACCTGCTCTGTAGCCTGACAAGTACTGCCCGTGAGTAATCGGTGGCAACTCACAAGGTGCTGTAAAAGATAACAAGAGAGAAAAATTTTACTTTAGAAAAATTTAGAAACGAAGTCAGTATCTCTGACATTCTGTGGTATAAGAGTTGCCGTTTCACTCATGCTCCTCAGGTCTCATTAATTTATTGGTAAAAGGTTCTACGAGGAAATTCTACACATTTGTAAACTGTGACCTCCGTGTGAAGTACTGTGGGAGAAAGAATCAGTATTTGGCACCTAAGTTTATGTTGTTTCCGCAGTTATTGGTGCTAAACCAAATTGATGAGGGATTAACTTTTCTTACTGATTTTCATATTGTGGTCTTTTCTCTTGCCTTAAAAAAAGGGCCGCTTATGTCTTAATAAAAAATCTTTTTCATGTTTTTATTTTCAGATTTTGTTTTAAAAATCTGAGGAATTAAATGATTGGTCATTGTTAAAAGAAGAAAGAAGGGACTACAGTGTAAAAATTAGTGAGAAAAATCAATGAGTGCAAATTTACTTAAACAAAACTGAACTTAAAATTTGTCCATATACCTTGTCAGGGACAGGATTCTTTTTCAGGAGCTATTTGAACATCAGCCAAGTATTTTGATGCTTACTTTATACTATCAAGCTTTGACCTCTAAAGAATGGACCACTAGACAAGGTACAAATTTCAGCATTCTGATACATGTTTCTTAACCAAAATTTCACGTAAAACACGATGCGCACAACAAAAATTACCGATATCAACTCCTTACGAAGATATTTAATGATTCTTGATGCGTGAATTCAAACCACCCGCTCATGAAAACTCAATGCTCTACGTGATTCACATCGCGCGCGAAACGTTATCATGACAGTCTCTGCGATATAAAAATCTGGCAACCTCAATCTTGACGCTTTGACTCAGCTATAGCAAATTGCTTATAGTTTGAACAACACATGGTGGGAAATGAACATTGCTCGACTGTGAAGATTGCTGAAACCGTTGTAGTGCGCGATTTGACTCACGTAGAGCTTTGAGTTTCTTGTGAGCGGGCAGTTCAAATTCCTCGTAACCAATGTGAAATAAAAACGTTAATATCTTCGTTAGGAGTTTGTTTAAGTAATTTTCATTGCGCGAATCGTGTTTTACGTGAAATTCTGGTCAAGAAATATAAATCAGAATCCTTTAATTCGTACCTTGTATAGTGGTCCATTGGTTGAGTAAGGGGAAATTAACTGGATGTTGAGAAAAAATAGTCATTCAGATAATATTTTCTCATGTCTCTCTCCGGGCAAACTTAATTGCTGGCCATTCCGACTGTTCGGAGACGCAAGAAATTTGAAAAAACCGTGTTACACACTTTGCATTTTACCTGTAAAATACGACTCAGGACTCACCTGGTGTGCACTCGGGAAGATCTGCCGGATTCCACGTCCCTCGTTCGCACATGAGTTTTGACGCACCTTGAAGGTTGAAACCTTGATGACAGGAAAATTCAACTTCCACATCGCTAGGAACATCTTCACTATCATTCAAGGTAATAGACGTCCAGTTGGTTGCATTATTTGATAATAAGAACTCGCCATGGGCAACGGAGGGTACCGGGCAAGGTACTGCAACAGAAAAAAATTGAAACATTGAGCAGAATCATTGACAGAACAGAAATATAACAGAAACATGACATGACAGTTAGTGAACAGAATCATATAAAACAAACACAAAAACTTGGAATTCACGCTGTTCGGCGTAACATGAAGACTGGTGACATGAAGACTTTTGACAGGTGATCTTAGCCTTTTTCAACCAGAAGAAAACGAGGAAAAAATGCAGAGGTGTAATCTCTTCAGAAAAGATGCTACCTGATACAAAACAAAGCACTCAAATTACCGCTTAATAACAGGAGACTCTTGAGTTGCTGACTATTGGCAAGTCTCTTTAACTCATCAACTTTTTTAACTCTGAAACAGCAACTCAATAGGTAATGTGTTTTACCTTAAATTTTTTTCCTTGTTTTCTTTGACAGTTGAAAAAGGCTTGGCTTGCCAACCAACATACTGTCTCTAGTATTTTTCAACGGAAAAATAGCGAAATATTGCGATTTTATCGGCGATAAAATCGCTAGGATCATCAACATCTGAGCGATAATCCTCCATCTTGTTGCAATATAATCGTGATTTTATTGCCTGGCAAGTTATTGCAACATTATCAAAACAAAAATCGATATGGCGATTTAATCTCCAATTCATCGACGAAAATTGACTGCGATTTTATCGAACAAAAAATAGCGATGCATAACGATTTAATTGCCATAAATCGCAATTTTTCATTCGATAATATTGCGATAAATCGCCACCGATATAATTGCGACAATCAACCGATAAAATCGCTATTTATCACGATCACTGCTACTTGGGAAAGAGCTTTTTTAAATCCTGACAACCTTGGACTATGATGTTACACAACGCTTTTTTATCCTGGTCCCCAAGGCAGTCCTATAGAAATCTAAAGGGCTCGTCTGAGTTGGTCATTAATTGCGGTTCAACTCCTGCATACGTTTTATCCATCCTGATAAATGGGGGCGAAAAAACCCTAAAGTTAAGTCATTGATATTGTGATAGTTGAATGGTGAAGATCAGCAAACAGTCCATAGGAAACTGATTGAAATGTGTGTTGCAAATCAAAAAATGATCTTCATCGTTGTACTTCAAGAGAACTACATATCAACGGTGTAAGTCCGCAACCACATATCTCGGTTTGCGACGTCCCAGGCTTCCTGTCATACTTTACTGTTTTAATGAATAACTACTCAATGGTGATTCTTAAGAACTGCTGAGATCTTCCTTTCCAGTGCCAAGAAAATTCAGAGAAAATTTCAAGGAATAAAATTGATTTGTTCCCCTTTAAAAAATAAAATAGAAGCGGAGATTTTCAAACACCGTGAACGAGATAATTAGTTGTGGACTTCTGCCATTAATATATACTACTGTAGAACAAAATATTTGCAATCAAACATCGTGGACATTATCAACCTGTGCAACTTCCTGCTGATAACAGTTTTGTTTCATGATAGCTGGAGTTGTATCGTCTTACCAGATTTTAAAACTGAATAGTACCAACTGTTGACCGAGATGCAGTTAAAAATAGCATTCCATTAATAAAATACATTAGGAGGTAAAAGTCAGTGTCATACAATCTAATCGAGCCATAAAATGGGCAGTCAGAAACTTTTTCTTCAAACACCAGCGACTCATAGGTATCAGATAGAGTGATTATTAGCTAAGTTGGCTAATAAGAGCGTCTCATCCCATCAAATGCTTGCAGGCTGCTAGTATTTGAAGCAACAGTGTGTAACTTTGTCCATTTGATGGAATTGTGTGACACTAACTAGAGAGGCAGCTACCGTTAGCAATCATGATGCAGAAGAGTGCATCAACCAATTAGCCAGAGAAGATGAGTTCTGTCCAGGCGAAGACAGTGCTTAACGTCACACACCAGACATGACACAGGTCATGACCCTTAGAAAACCCATAAGGGCTTGACATAGAGGTACATTCCTTCGTCTGTCATCATCTTCTGAATTTTCTCGGACACTAATGAACCTTCTATTCTCATCAGTTGATGTGTTTACAAAGGATGGTAGCAGGATGCATTTGCTTCAAAGAGTGAAGAGTGTTCTCTCATGAAAACTCACTGAAAGCCTTTACTCATGGCAACACGTCTGTCATTCGGAAAACAAGTTTAATAATTACTCTCATCACAGAAAAGGTTGCTACAGAGTAAAATTCTGGTGATGGAAGGAAGACAAAGTAATGATGATGATTTATCTTACGGATGAGTGAAGAAAAGCAGGGTTGATGCGGCGAACATAGCCATGTTGAAAATTGTCAACAGAACTTCGAGGCGGTTGCTAAGCAGGAATAATTGCACATATTTCACACAACATGCTTCGTATTGAAAGAAATATTCAGAAAATATGATTATGATTTCTGTTAAAGTTTGGCTGAAGTTTTGCGATGTGCGTTTGTTTATTACGGATTTACGGGTTCAAATTTTGATTGGTCCGGAACGGTTCATTCCGTTTATTCCGAGTTTAACCGAAAAGCGCGGGAATCTCTAATAATTCCGGATATCCTGTTCATCAGCTAGGACATTTCCGGTGAAGTGAGTTTCCCGCTCTATTAAACCGGAAACGGAAATAAGATATCAATGGAAGGACGCCAAAACCGGAAACGGGCAGGAAAAACTCCAGCTCAAATAATAGGAATTGTAATCTTAGTAACGCGAAATTTAAATTCATGCTCCCTTCGTTTTTCGCCACATTACACTATTACAGGATAATGCAAGGTAACTAATATCATCACTCAATCTGTCCGAAATTACCTGAATGCATGAAAGAAAATGAGGACAACAAGTTTGATTCGGCGTTATCTGATGTGAGATTGCGTCTGGTTTTCAGAAATGACCTTTGGGAAGAGAACGCTCCTTACAACATATATTTAGAGTTATTTCCACTTTTTTCATATTTCGGACGTAACCGAGTCGGGAAAATCGCAGAATTTGAGGTGTTTCCCTCATATATTTAGGTATACTGAACAAGACCGACAAATGCAAATGGTTTTGTTTTGTTGATTCCACAATCATCTTGCGATTAGTGCGCAATTTGACTTTTGCAGACTTTTGTTTTTCCAAGAGTATAGAAGGAGCACCAAAAAACGTTATAATTACTTCAGAAAATTAACTTCAGAAATTTTTGCTGTGCGGATCGTCCTCTAATTTTTAGCCGTAAGTTTGAAAAATGTACAAATAACATTAGTTTACGAGGGAAATTATATTTATTCCGTCTGTAAATCTCATTTCAAGAAAGAGGGTGCAAAGTCTCGGTTCAGGTCAAGGTTTTCAAGTCCTTTTGCTTTATTCAACACATTCTTTCGGAAAATTTTAAGAGTCGCCGTTTACAAGACCGCAATTCTCTTTTTGGAAATGAGACTTACAGACGGAATAAGTTCCTTTTCCTCAAATGTAAAACAAAAAAAAATGTTCTTTGTAAATTTTTCAAAATTACAATTTAAAAATTCAAGCATTTTACGGTAAAAGGGCATATAATAAGACTTACAATACTACTGCGATTAGCAACGTAGTTCTCTAGTTGTTTGTAACTTATAGAACAGTTCCTCCACGAATTTTTCCCTGAATCTGCTCCGAGATTTTTCTCATTATTGTAAGGAAGTATGTTTACGGTGAATGAATTTTATCTGCCGCAAACGCTTCAAAAAGATGCACAATCTTATAGCGGTATTGGAAGCCTTATACGCTTTTTTACCGAAAAAGTCCTCGATTATGAGAGTTTTCGGTCAACATCACCACACAGCAGGGCCTTTACGTTCGAATGAAGAGGAGCGCCTTCAACATACTGTGTAATCTCAATGCGATTTTGTGATACCACTATACGTGCGTCACGACAATCATTTTGCATAGCCGGCCAATTGAAGGCGAATCTTTGGTTTCCATTGGACCAGTAGACAATGCACGAATTGAAGCATTCTGATGCATGTTTCTTAACCAAAATTTTACGTAGAAGACTTTTAGCGTAACGAAAATTTCTGACATTAATTTCCTGAAGATATTTGACTTTTTTGACGCGTTAATCCAAACCTTCCGCCTATGGAAAACAAAAGTCTGTAAAAGTCTAATCTCACATTAATCGCAATTAGATTCAAGTAGACCGTCGTTCTCTCATAAGCAGAAAATTCAAAATTCTTGGGACAAATGGAAATTGAAAACTTTCATATTTTAGTAAGGACTTGATTTCAGTAATTTTCGTAGCGTGAATCGTGTTCTGCTTGAAATTTTGGTATAGAAGCATGCATCAGATTGCTTAAATGCGTAAGTACCTTGTCTATGGTTCATTGGTAACCAAAGACTCGCCTTCAATTGATCGATTATGCTAAATGACTGTAGTGACGCACGAATAGTGGTATCACAATTTCGCATTGAGATTACACAGTGTGTTGAAGGCGCTCTTCTTTAGCCTATCTTAGTGGCCTTATATGTTGATGATAAACGAAACCTTTCACAATTTTAAGGTTTAAATTGGGCCGTAATTTTGCAAAACGTGCGAAGGGCATTATTTTGCATGTACCTTGCACTTTATTTTGTTTGTATATAAAACCAAAACTTTATTTTGCATTATTTTGCGTGTTCTCAAGAACAGCACATTTTAGAGATCATGCGCCATTGTCCTGAAGGTGTGAAAGTTGCTTTCGGAAATCAAGATAAGGATGGATCAGACAAGGATGGCGAAAGTGCGAAAACTCGTATCTGCATTGTCGCAGGCTTCCCGTTTAATTTGACGTTTTCTTGGGAAAACTAGTCAACGGAATTTCTTGAGAACTGCCATGATTTTTCTTCTCTGTTAGTAGAATATTCTGTCCCGATCACACGCTATAAAGTTGATTCAATGCCCTCCGTAAAAGTAAAGTAAGAACGGGCATTATGAAAAACCGCAATGGAGATACGAGGCTTCGCTTTTTTGGCATGATATGCCTGATGATGACAGATGACCAAATTGTTGAGCAATTCGTTTTACAATCCTGATCGTCTAAGTTAGAAAAACCAACCTAGCAAAAGTCTTACGTCGGACAAACTAATGAAACAAAATTGGCCCACACAAGTCGTCGTTTCCTCCACGAAAGAACATAACTACTTATCAATGTTGCCAAATTTTCCCTCGCAAATTGAATTTTTACGAGGAGGATCTTGGGCATTTCTAACTGAAAATTTCTTCGATCGATTTTTCTCCTGATCTCGTGCAATAACAGACAAATATTTTACTAAATATGCATAGGTACAGTCTTGTAAACAATTTAATCGTTTGAGGCGAGTTTGCAACCTTGGAATGGAGTTACATTCCTTCGTCCGGGAAACGATGAAGTTCAAATGGATGTTTTGAGTTTGGGAGACTTACGGAGGGAACACTCTGGTTTCTTGGGTCGCCATTTGCCGTGAGCACAGCGGAAGGTGTTGTTATTTTTGACGTTGAGTCCGTAGCCAGTGGCGCAAATCACGTGGTAGATGGATCCGTGTGAAAAAGTGTCGTTTTCGTTGTGTCCGGGTCTGATCAGCTCCGAGTGAAAATACGGCTCCGTCGAGATTGGTTCGCAAGGCCCTGCAAACATATCGAAGTTCAAAGTTGATTTTACGCTTTCAAAAACCTCGTTTTACTTCACTTCTCAAGAGTTTTTTCGCCGTATTGAAAACTTTAAGCTACTAATACTTAAGGGCCAGTTTGCCTAAATCTCTCAAATCTTCTGTAAATCTTTTAACTGTATTCGCCAAAACACGATGTTTGGATGTCGGCTGGACCTTGATGCCTATAATTCATGACTATGCTAATTCTCTGATTTTTTCTTGATTTTTAGGAACTCATTCTCTGACGAGGACCCGACATTTTCTCCCAATTCCCAGGGTTTTTTTTGGAAAAACTATATAATTCTCCGGATTTTCAGAATTAAATATCGATTTTTTTGTCATATTTCAGCCGATTCTTTGGCCCACATTTGGAATTTCAGAAGCGTTTTCGATGTTCATATCATTTGGTCGATGCAAGCCTCTCTAACATTCCGATTAATTGAAGATTCAAATATGTCATTCAAGTGGTGAAAAAAATTAAGATTCCTGGTTTCTGAAACAGATTTCCCTGATTCTCTCCTGAAATTTTTCATTCCCTAATAATTCCAGGGTTTTCCGGTCCTAAACACCGTGACTAACTCCATCAAATCTTTGGTTGGTCTCTTAATTTTATTCGCCAAAACACGATGTTTGGATTAGCTAGACTCAGGGGCGTATTCACAGTAGTCTTTAATCAGCTTCTTCCCAAAGATATCTATCAAAATGTTATTAAAACGGGTTTTAGGACGCTTTTAGCATAGCATCATAACAAGGAAGCGTAAGATGTGCGCAAAGATGTGCGTCACTGTAGTGCACAGTTGCGACCAAGAAACAGCGAAAACCTGAAATTTCAAAACGCCTTCAGTTTTGCACTTAGGCAACCCGGGCATCCCTGGAACACGAATAGTTGCATCCATGCCTCATGGTGAAATTCGTTTTGTTTCGTCGCATGCTGTGCTAAGGACAGCATTCATAATCATTCCTTAAAAAGCTTCTCTCCGCAGGAAGGCCTCATATTGCTCATACTGCGTTCAAGAACAAGTTTGACGAAATATTATAAAAAGCACAGTTTTTTGCGAAATTTGAGTTAGAATCATCAGTTCAACAATGGAAACAGCCTCTTGAAAGGATTTCCAATGATGAATTGCCACTGCAAAAAATATGAAGTCAAACTTTAAGGTAAGTAGAGACCTACCTCAAAATCTGCAGGACCTGCGATGTATATCTGCCTCTGTATTTTGTATTTTATGCAATGGCAAATTATTGTGATCCCTGGCAAGGATTGTCTTTTAGAGTTTAACTGGTGGCTTTTACTCAAATTTCACAAAAATTGTGCTTTTGAAGACGCTACTTTAGAAGCGTCCTTAAACTGGTTTTCCCCCCTACTTCTTTGAAGGAGTTTTATTTAAACATAACGTAACTACTACAAGTATTTCCTTGTATCTATCTACATGGCTGAAAGCTAAAACTAACCGGATTGCATTAAATTTACAAGGTAACGTTAGATAATACGAGTACGATGATTATCCTTAAACTCCTACATAAGTGTTCAATGATCAACAATGAATACGGCCCGAACCCTTTTTTTAATGGTAATTTGGCGCTCACCATAAACAAGTTTTTCGTAGTTGTTCTCTCACCTTTTCCTCGGTTTTTGTGCTTCCTGCCCTCTTTTTTGTCTGAGTCCCCACCGTAGAGGCTATCGTCATCGTCCCCTCCTTCATTCATGTTTCCTCTCCGTCCTCCTCCTTGTTGCTTGTCCTTCTTGTCACTCGACCCTGACACCGTTTTACGCATACTCACCTGCAGGACAAATCGCAAAATTTAGGCTGGAAAAATGAAAAATAAGGAGCAGAAAGAGAGATGAACAAATCAAGCATGATTTTCACCTGTACAAAAATCATTATGAGCACATGGAACGTTTGGCGCAAGTTCCTTTATTTTTTTCATCTCTTGGAAGAATTGGTAAGTTACCCTGAAAAGAAATTGATAGGGAAAGTTGAGAGACACGTTTCTCGATCTGTGCCGCATCAGATTTCTTTACACACATTATTTATTGAAAGGAAGGGTATCGATAAGGGCCGATTTGGGGCCAATGTGAATTTTCCAGACTTTACGATCTGTTTGCGCACTGAGGGTCTATAATTCACGGAATCCATCATGATTTGGTCATTTTAGGTCTCTTTTTGGGTCTAATACTGGCCTAAAAATGGGTCTAGAGACTGATTTTGGTGGAAAATGCGAATTAATTTATTTTCGGTTGAGTGCCAAAAAATCGATATTTTTCACGGAATGCATCAGGATTTGGTCATTTTAGGTCTCTTTTTGGGTCTAATACTGGCCTAAAAATGGGTCTAGAGACTGATTTTGGTGGAATATGCGAATTAATTTATTTTCGGTTGAGTGCCAAAAAATCGATATTTTTCGCCAAAATTGGCTTTCAGACCTATGTTAAAGCCGGTATCAGATCCAAAAAGAGACGAAAATTGACCGATTCATGGTGCATTCTGTAAAATATGGACATTCAATCAACAAAAAAAACTTAGAGTTGAAGAAATTCAGCTTGACTGGGCCCAAGAACGGCCCTTTTTGAGACCCCTCCTTTTCAATGCTATTCCTTCATCCAGTACAGAGTATTCTCTGAAAATTTCTATTGCTGTTACATCAATGTGTTCCATCAAAGGAAGTTAAACAACAGTGGACATTTTGAAACGTCATAGTCAAGACACAGTTTTGCAATTTTGTTACTTTCACCATGCATAAACATGGTTTTTTTAAAATTCTAAGAACAAAGTTTTTTTTATATTTTATTTATTTTTTTTTCTTCTTTTTTTTTGAAGAAGAAGATATTGTCACATTTTGTTATTTCAGAAAACATCGAAACTTTTCAGTCTTATACTATACTTTAAGTTCCATCATCATCATCTTTTTCAATCACTGAGTGTTGGGCAGAAAAACATTTCAATTTTCTTTCACCTGCTGGCAGGACGCTGCTCACCTGTGAGTTTTGGCCGGACAGAGCTCTGCGAACCCGCTGCAATTGCCTGAGAACTTTTGTGCGAATACTCCTGATGGCACGGCCCGTGTTTATGCGTGGGTGTTGACCCAATACACATCTACGGAAACAGAAGAAAAAATAATCTAGACTCAACCCACACGCCATCACAGCGAAAATTCAGCCAATACAAGTTTGAAGTGCGAATAGTTGCGCGCTTGATTTCTGCATTCAACGATGCAAGCTTAATTCCTACATTCATAAACGCTGCTAATGTGAGGTAAGTAAAAGGCTAAAACTCTCCTTCATTTCCGCGTGATACCACATCACTTACCTACTACGGATCTCGGATATTAGGGTGCCTGATTTCCGCATTCAAACATAATTCCTACATTCATAAACGTCAGTAATTTGACTAATTTAAGACAAGTGAAAAGCTAAGATATTCCTTCATCTTCGCGTGATACCACATCACATACCTACTGCGGAGTTCGAATAGTAGCGTGCTTGATTTCCGCATTCAACGATGCATAAGCATAACCATAATGGAGAATTTGCGTGCTTTTGTATTGCTTCATCAAAAAGTACTTAAAAAGACAACAATAAAAACACACTAAAATACATTAAACAAATGGGTATATAAGGCTAGAAGAGACATAAAACAACCAGGACGTTTCGGGCCAATTATATGCCCATTCTCAACTGGAACAGAAGCTAAAAAATGTTTTTTAGCTTCATTTAGCACATTTTTTAGCTTCTGTTCCAGTTGAGAATAGGCATGTAATTGGCCCGAAACGTCCTGGTTGTTTTATGTCTCCTCTAGCCTTTTATACCCATTTGTTTTTTGTATTTTAGTGTGTTTTTATTGTACTTAAAAAGTTGATTTTACAGAAGTTTTCTTAATTTTTTTCTGATATGGGGAAAAGTATAAAAATTGTCATATCTTCTCCAATAATTGTTCAATTCATGAACCAAAGGTATCCTCGTGATCAGTTCACTCAGTAGTTTCCACTTAAATGCGAAATTCATCAAATTTCAGTGACCTTCAAATTCTCTATTATTACATTCATAATGTCAGTAATTTGAGAAAAGTGAAAAGCTGTAAGATTCTCATTCATTTCTGCGTGATGCTACTTCACATACCTACTACAGAATTCGGATATTAGAACGCTTGATTCACGAATATTTTTCTTGGAAATTTTCAGGTACCCTGAATTAAATTGCAAATAAAGTTCTCTGAAAAACTGGGAAACAAATGGATTCCATTTTGCAAGAAGGAACCGGGAGCATTCCAAAGTTGCTAAGATTGTGCAACTTACTTTCTTTGCAATGCAATTACTGAAATCATGCAAAAAATTAAATTCGCAAACGTAATTTTAGTCATGAATTTATAGTTTATTGAGAGTAAAGATGAATCTTGTTAGGATGATCAGTTTATACTTGCAAGGTAAACAAAGTTGTATAATATTAGCGACATTGGAATGTTCTTGGTCCCTCTTTGCGAAATGTAATACAAATATAGGTACACTAGGGGAAAAAAAAACACATTGGATCTAGAGGCCAGACTCTTGAAAACATTGACAAGAAAAAATACTCTTGATTCAATCAGATTTAGGCTTAAAGCAAAAGGAAATCCGCTCAAATTAAGAGGCTTGGTTCGTGATTTAAGATTAATCTGATTGAATCAAAAGTAATTTTTCTTGTCGATGTATTTAAGAGTCTGGACTCTAGATTCAATGTGTTTTTTTTGCAGTGTATACACGTTTCCCTGAAAATGCATGTTTTTTGGAAGGAGATTTGGCAACGGCTGAAGGGTAATACGGCATTTTCCTCAGCACGAGGAATTTCCTGTTCGACTTGTTGAAAACATCGCGGGGCTCGGCAAGAAAAAAGAGCGGGAAGAGGGAGAAAGAGGCGCCACTGGATTAGCACGGAGCCCGGTGGTGTCTCCGGAGGGATACAATAAAACATGGTAACGCAGTAACGCAGTAACGCAGTAACGATGTCGTAACACGATCGACGACAGATTAAGGGGTGCTTCCGCAGTCGCGCGAAACGATACGCCCGTGCGTTTCCCCGAGCTCTTCCGCAGTCTATCGAGAGCAATGCATGCCTTGTGCCAGGTTGCCGTTATTCACTTGCAAACCCTGGTAAAAATTGGCAGTAGAGTGTGTGTTCCAAAATACTATAGACCTATAGCCGGCTGTACAATTTCTTATAGCCTTTTATAGCCGATGGCTATTAAGCAACAGTCAGACGATAGAGTTCATGCTAAACGTTACTAATTACAGATGCAAGGACTTAGTTAGTTTTTGGACTACCGCTCTCTTTTTGGGCCGTAGTATCTTGATTTATTTTGCGAGGAAAGCTCCTTACTTTTGAAGGATGCCTGTCATTCTTAATATGTTGGAGCGCCTTAAATTTCGTATGATACTGTGCAATACCTCTGGTGTGAAATAGTTGCCTCAGACGCCGTGGCACGCTGCGGCGCGGCGGGCGGGCAGAGAGCTCAAAACGCGCATTGGCGCCTACAAACCTAACAGGGATACTTCACGCATTGCGCAATGCGTGAAGTATCCCTGTTAGGTTTGTAGGCGCCAATGCGTCGCCGCTCCGCTTTGTGTGAGGCTCTAATATTTAATCTGGCGGAGTCAGCGTTTTTCAACTCATGATTTTGAAATGTTTGCACACTCTGTATGGACCATCTCATTTTAATTGATGAAAAAAAAAAAATATTTTTTAAAGGAAAATATAATGTGTGTTTTGTAAATATTAAGGTAGTTCCGTATCAAACTTGATGATTTCCAACTTAATGAATGACTTAATGAATTTCTACACAATTTCTTGTAGCCTTTTATAGCCAATGGCGATAAAGTTTAATGCCCGGCGATAGGAACTATAGCCCGACTGTATACTTTTTTATAGCTTCGTATAGCCCGGCTATATGATTTGCTCCGCTTTCTACAGCCAGCTATATGATTTTCAATAGCCTTCTTTAGTCGGCTATAAGAACTCCCATGGTATTTTGAAACGCAGCTCGTATAGCCAATTTTTACCAGGGAATAGACCGCTAGACAAGGTACGAAGTTAAGCATTCTGCTATACATGTTCCCTAACCATAATGTAACGTAGAACACGATTTGCACAATGATAATTACTGAAATCAACTCCTAACTAAGATATAACTCCACGGTAGATATGTGGCTCATATGAGGAACAGCAAACGTGCCATTAGTTAACGTATGCAGGTAGGTGATTTTATTGATACGGCAGAAATGAACGTATTTCTGACAAACGGAACTATTTTGCATTATGACATGAGCCCTGTTATTATGTACATATTCTTATGGATCTCAGAGCTCATGTCTTAATGCACCTTTTGGCAGAAATGCGTCCAAATAGTGAATGTTCTCAGCCGCAAACTACATTGAACTTTGCTTCTGTAAACTACGGTCTCTCAGCTCGTTGCCAGTCGCGCGTAGAGAACTCTTACAAAATCAGAAATTTCAATCCTGTTCGGTACGGATTAAAATATCTGCCTCGTAGGTAACTCAAGGACGGCTAAACAGTTGAATTACGAGAGGGTACTATTCGACCTTCACTATCGTGCTGAGTGTTTACACTAAAAAGTGCAGGGATTTTTACTCGTCAATTTTTTTTCCTTCAAAAATCCTCAGTGTGCATTTGTAAATATGATCGCAAGTTGATTTTTGCTAAGTACTAACTAATTGAATCGGGACGTGCGAAAACCGCTAATGTCCATTTTTCTAGTCTTAAGTTTTTTTGAGTTGATAATACTTTCGGAGTTGGTTGCAACCACGAAAGTGGCGTTAAAACTCGTCTTCGCGTTTTTTAAATCCCAATACGAGTCCTTTCATCACTTTTATGGTTGTATCGACTCTTTAAAAGTATTATGAACTCGAAAAAACACAAGACTGGAAAAACGGACGTTAGCTGTCTTCGCATGTCCCGACTCAATTGTGGACCAAAGCGTGAATACAACCGAAATTCGAATCATCGCATTATCAAAGCTATCAGGGCGAAGCAACTATTGCTACATTATTGCCTACACTAAAAATGGAAGGTACACTGGAAAAAAAAGACATTGGGTCTAGAGTCCAGACTCTTGAAAACATTGACAAGAAAAAATACTCATGATTCAATCGGATTTTTGCTTGAATCAAAACGAAATCCGTTTAAATTAAGAGGCTTGGTCCTTGATTTAAGCTAGATTCTGATTGAATCAAGAGTACTTTTTCTTGTCGATGTTTTTAAGAGTCTGGACTCTAGATCCAATGTGTTTTTTTTTCCCAGTGCATTTTATGTCGTGAAGATTTTCCTCCGCAAAATCTTCAGTACACAAGTAAATGGTCGCGAGATTAAATTTGACAACCGCATGATTGTCAGGGAAATGCAACACATCGCACTATCACGAGACCACGGGACCTCAAGGATGAAGTACGGGCTGTTGCCACGCCTGACATAAATCAAGGATTCAGGATCCTTGCGGTGCGCCAAAAAAAGGGAGATTCATGAGTCGGGTGGTGACAGTGCGGTGAGAGGGGGGGGGTGCCTGGGAACAAAGTTCCACGCATCATTTATGGCGTCTGATAGGAAATAAGTGTCATTTTTTGCCACCCCGGGCGTGCAGCACTCGCTCGAATTACTCCTGCCTTGTTTCCATGGTGACGCCGTGCAGGGCGCCCACCTATCTCATGCTCGCTTGCCTGTTGCACTTTCCGCGAGTTTCCGGGGCCAGGTTGCCAGATGCAGAGAAATAATTATGTTTCCAAGTTCAGCTTTCAATGAGATCGCATTCAGCAAAAAGGAACCAGCGCTATTCCAGTGTTTTCAAAATCGTGCAAAATGCTGAAGATTCTTTTAAAAAAATATTTTAAAAAAAAAAAACATAGTTAGTTAGTTAGTTAGTTAGTTAGTTAATTTATAGTTTTATATCATTATATGTTTTATATTAGTTATTTATAGTTTTTTATTAGTTCTCCACCTTGTTACCAACAGTTCGGGCCACCTCTTAGTGTTTAATTTTTTTCGTTAGTTAATTTATTTAGAGATATTCAGCATCTTGGGCTATTCATGTCTTTACAAAGAATATGAAAGATGGGTGCACAATTGCACATATACAAAAATTCAGATTTTCAAATTAAGGGAGGCAAAAAGTGTTTTGGTTGTGACATTGAGTTCATCGCAGGTTAGTGGGTTTGTATTCCTTTTGACTGATGGTGAGTAAATTTGTGAGCGGTGATCACTGATGGCAGAGTAGTTCATAAATATAAAATTAAAATACTTAATATATGTGCAGTATTGACATTTACACCCTTATTTTTCCTTAAAATTAACACTTTTTTGATGGGAAGCAAAAATTATTTGCTATTCTAGGAATTTGTTTTAAATAATTATGAATAAGCAACATTTTTACAATACTGTAATCGCGTTGGTTCCTTTTTGCTAAATGTGATCCAATGGGTCTGTTGCGTATATCGTCGTTTCCTGGACCAAGGCACGCAAGGATCCAAGGTTGCAAAATTGACTCAATAAGTTAATTTTTTACAATAATGCACCTGTGCAATCATAGTCAAAAATTTCCCTGATTTTTGCATGAGATCCGGAGTAAATCGGTGAAATTTTCAGTCAGAAGTGCCCAAGATTCTCCTCTTAAAAGCGCGATTTGCGAAGGGAAATGTGGCGACACTGTAATGTAGTTACGTTCTTTCGTAAGGGAAACTAGGACATGAGGTAGTGCCCACGGAGCGAAATTTCCATATTCGTGCACAAACTTGCGATGTTGCAGTATTCCTGTTATACTTTATTTTCTCTTAAAAAAACTAGTCAAGTAATCTCTTGAAAACTTCCTTGAATTTTTTACTGTTGGCAGGATATTATGTCTGAATGACAATCTGTAAAGTTGGCTTGTTTCTCTTCGAAAAAATAAAATAGGAACGGAAATTTGAAAACACCGCAATATAGATACGTGGTTTCGCACTATAGTCATCGATAGGTCGATATTTATAGTTGTTTTTCAAACAGTTCCTTTCATTAAAAAAAACGATGAAATTATCATGGTACTTCTGCCTCCGTATTTTGTGACGGCAAATCATTGTAATCCTTTTTAAAGACTCATTTCCAAAGTTATGCAGAATTCAACTCGGATTGGCAAAAATTGTCCTCCTTATGGTGATACTTTTAAGGCTTCCTTAGCCGTCCCTTCACTCAATGTAAGCCAGATAGGACCTCCTAAGAAAAGGAACTATTTAAGGAACGAATACGAAAACGAATGTCCTCTCCTTAACTTGTGAGTTTAGCCGTTCGAGCTTGGTTAGTTGTATCTCAAATGGCGGCTCATTTGGACTACACTTTGCAATTTGGGTCTGAAAATTCTGACTCAGTTTAAAAACAACGCAAGCACCATTAGTTTTCAGAGGCGTCGTCTCGGATTTTGGAATTTTGAAAAACGGACCAAAGATTCGAGTTTCCTGTCATTTAATACCCTTTTCTGCCGAATTTCACAAAAATCGATGGAACAGAGGCCGAGCTCACTGCGGTGTAGCTTCAGCGTGAGGAGGTTGCGTTTCGCACTGATGATACAAATATATCAACTCGGGTGTGTTGCACAGTATCAGGCTCAATTGAAGGCGTTTCTCACGAGTACAGTGGGCTACGATGAAACGAGACGTCGCGTCGCGTCGCGACGATGAAAAGTTTCCCAATTTCCCATTGCACATAAGTGTTTTTACGGATGAGCCAGAAATTGTAGTTCCTAATGGGCCTGTTGCAAATTTCAGCTACAGCAAGAGGAAAAGTTGCTCAAGATTGAAAACGGCTCCAAAATCACGATGAGCGCGTCGGGAAAGTCTGAAATTCACTCTTACCTTCACAATCTGCGTCTGGCTCAGGGGCCGAAAGTTCCGGGTTCTGGAGCCGTGGCTTCGATTGCTCCGGGTGTTACGCCTGGAACTTTCGGCCTTTGAGCCCGAAACGCGGACGCTGCGTCTGTATAGCCCGTAAATACAGCTTCCAGGGCCGGAGTTGTTGTTTTCAGTGCAAGAAATAACTCTTCTTTTATCTCTAGCAGAAGTTTGCAACAGACCCATTGCAAAATAAAGTCCGTTTGGCTGAAAATCTTATTCGCGAGAAAGTTAAAAATGTTAAAATGGGTAACTCACTTGCACGTTTTAAAATTCTTTTTTGCAGACGCTTTTCGGGCATCGGCCCATCATCAATGCTAGATCGCTTGATCACGCGTGTCGCGATCTAGCATTGATGATGGGCCGATACCCGAAACGCGTCTGCAAAAAAGAATATTAAAACGTGCAAGTGAGTTACCCATTTTAACATTTTTAACTCTCTCAATTATTTCTTGTGCGGTAAAAGCTCTCCTCGAAAGTATCTTATTCGCGACCGACCAATCTCGTTTTCTTGAAAGAAGCGGCAACATGGACCACACGCGATCGCGAAAACTCGTTCTCAGAGTAAAAAAAAGCGTCTCTTTGTCTGAGCCTGGGCCTCCTTCGGGAGGAGACCTGCGGGTGGATTGTTTAGTCGTTATCGAATACGATCCCGATCGATAAATCCCTATCTCAGCAACGCTTTTTATCGATCAAGGTCGTTCGATATCGATATATCGAGCCGGTGGGGTCCGGTTCGGGCGCGGAGCGCGGCGGAGGATGCGTTTTTTCCCGGTTCATTTGCTCCGGAGTCGGAGACACGGACGAGAGAGCGGCCAACTTATCTCACTCGAGCGAGTGCCTCTACATTTCCCGACAATCGATTTCGGCTCCGTCGTAAAACGGATTTCGGCAAGCGAATCCGCCAAACAAAAAGCGCAACCAGACGCGCAAGACACCGCGGCAAAGTCCGCCCGATCTCTTATCCGCATTCTACCTCGGCTGGGGCCAACTAGCGTTTTACGACGCCGGCTAACAGTGGATCGAGTCAATAGGAAAGGCCGGATATAAAATTTTTGACTAAAACTGCAAATTTTGATGTTTATCTCGTCACATTTTCAATTTTAAGGGATGCTTGTAGAAGAAAATGCCACGAGAAAACCTCGAGTTGGAGCATGTATCTCAGTTTACAATGAATTAGTTCGAAAAAGCAGAGATAATGAAAAGCGGGAAAGGCCTTCCAGAAGGTGGCTCAGCCAATGGTCGCGGTGGGAGGTTGCTGAAGGCGCTTAGATACGACTATTCGAACGCTATGGATGTGGGGGTTGCGTCTTCACGCATTTGAAGGCGTTTTCACCGAGTTGGCTGTGTCGAGTCGTTCCTTAAACAGCTCCTTCCTTAACGAGGCCCAGTTTGGTTAACGCAGTTGATCTTTGCAACTTTTTTTACAACCTACATTTTTGTCTCGAGTCATGCTGCTTCGTGTTTAACTACAAAAAATGATAATATTAAAGAAATGTGTGATTTCGTCACCCTCCTGACGTAAAGACGTAACTACACTGGCGATGAACCCTGTCATCCATATAAATCAATGCTTTCCCGGGCTCATCTTAGCCAAGCGACGATTTCACTCTTATCGACGGTGTAAGTCGGCAATCAAACAACTCGGTTTGCGATGTCGCAGACTTCCTGTCATACTTTATTTTTTAGACGAAAAACTACTCAACGGCGATCCTTTAAAACTGCCGTGATTTTCCTTCTTTGTGCGAAGAAAATTCTGCAAAAACCTCAAGGAATGAAGTCAATTTGTTCTCCTTCAAAAAATAACAGAGGCGGAGATTTTCAGACACCGCAAACGAGATACGTGATTGCCGACCTACACTGTCGATATGTTATGATTGTACCTATACTGCCACGCTAAGTAAAAACGCCGTATGAACCTCCAGGCGTTGCCAAATTTCCTTTGATGAAACAAGAATTCCCTGGTAAACTTATGAATATTTTTATTTCAATTTTCTCCGAGAATTTTGTTCGTATGTTGTTCGAAAGTTCCAGAAAATTTCAAGGAAAAATACTCATAACTTTGCAGAAAAGGAATGATGTTAATTTGTTCTCCTTCCAAAAATAACATAGAGGCGGAGATTTTCAGATACAGCAAACGAGATCTGTGATTGCGGACTTACGCCGTCGATATGACCTTCAAAATATATAATTCAAAAATTCAAAACTCAAAAAGCGGACTTGACATTCTGTGTATATGATTAAAGCGAGATTGAAGGAACTTACTTGGGTAGTTGTTTGGGGCTCCAGTAGCCTCCGATGCAAGTGGCTCCCGGCGGTCCCGAGCTGAGATAATAGCCTCGATCGCAATCGTACATGATCTGCTTGTTGTTGACGACGCGCCTGACGTAAGATCGGTAGTCGTAGACGCCCATGTTCCCAACTAGCATCACCTTCCCGTTCTCCACGTTGCCCGGGAAGGAGCAGTATACTGAGAACAGAACAACCCCGCTTGTGATTAGTGCTTCATCTCGGCTGTAAATTCAAACGAGAAAGGGTCAGCTGCCCTGGTCACAGAATCGTGTTTTGATTCCAGATGTTTGTAGATTGAATAAAAATAATCCGGTTTTATGTCCGATTAGAGCCACCAATTGGACGGAGGGTTGGACGGAGAGTAATTGAATCAATTTTCTTTGCATTCAGCTTTCCGTCCAGCCTTCCGTCCGATTGTTGGATGGAGGGTTTGGTGGTGTGAATTGTGCTTTAGACGTCATGTCAAACTATCCACTTATCAGAGGACCTCTATCGCTTCTTCGCCTGTTTAAAATTGTTATGAATTTACCCAAGATTATGAATATAATCACAAAATTTCAGGTTTCAGTATTGCTTCGATTTGTATTTTAAAGATAAAGGATCAGAGAAAATTAGGCAACTCCTGATGTAGTTAGACTGATTTTCATTAAATTGACTTGCTGATTTGGTCCGTCCAACCGTTTGTTAACATAAACAGAGACAAATACAAAGACGGATAATTGGACTGCATTTTGCAATTTGGAACTATAAATTCTGGCCCGGTTTAAAAACAACGTCTGTGCCATTAGTATCCTATGCACATACGTGTTTTTCCAGAAGAGCCAGAATTTATAGTTACAAATTGCAAATTGCAGTCCAATTGTAATATTTTCTTTTCTCACTTTTATCTCTGATTGATTAAGGGGCTTACTCCAGTTTACACTAACTCAAAATGCTCTAAACGTTGTCTCTCTCTTTTTCTTTTTCATATACCTGTTTGTTTCATTACTTTTTTCTTATACAAATGTACATTAGTATTACAGCGAATCCATTTTGCTCAAGAAGGGCAAAATCTAAAATGCACCGTTAAGAAATAAAGAACGTATAGAATAAATAAGTACAAAAACATTATTCCAGGTCAAGGGGCAAGAGTCACATTTTCAACGGATTATTTTCAAAGAAATAAAATCCATCCAATCATTCCTCGGTGTAATTTTTAAAGAGAGAAAATAAGTGAGCGACGAATGTTAAAATTTCCTTGACATATTTTTTGAAGATTATTTCATGAAAACAAAATCATTGAACACTTGTCGCATGTAAATACAATGTAGCAATGTGTGCGATGGACGCACGGCTATAAAAGTATTTGCACCGAAAATGTATCTTTAAAATATGTACAAAACAAGTTTGACAATTGAGAACTCGTTTTATGATACAGAGGACCGTCTTCATTTTTATTTTAACAAACAAGAAAACACTCATTACTTTCAACATAACACTCAAAAGTCTCAATTGAAATGTGCAAAACTAGGTCATAGAAGGAGACATTTAGAAACACCTACATGCCTTGACTTTCAATGCAGTTACTAGTGCGGATCTACGTGTAAGTTTTTGTGGTTGTGTTCATTAGACCAATTCTCATTGTGTTTGTGAGGTGATAACTTTGCTATTTCACACGATTCTTTGTTAGAACTTCTTTAATGTATGTATCTCAGTTTACAATAAATTAGTTAGAAAAAGCAGAGATAAAGAAAAGCGGGAAAGGCCTTCCAGACGGTGGCTCAGCCAATGGTCTCGGTAGGAGGTTGCTAAAGGCGCTTAGATACGACTATTCGAACTCTTCGAATGTGCCGGTTGCGTCTTCGCGTATTTGAAGGCGTTTTCACAGCTCGTGGCGAGAGCAACGCGTTGAGGCGGGGCGCTTCGTTCTGAAATATCGTTCAGATCGTTGATCTGAAAAGATTGTCTGAAATAACGTCGGTGAAAACATGTAATCAGCAAATAAAAGAAGTCGGCACCTTTGATGATCTTCCGGACATAAACCTTTGAAGTTATTTTAAATGCTTGATACTTAATTAATTCATAGTATTGGTGACGTGTAAATTAATTTTTTTAGCTTTGAACCTGACTGAAGGGAGAGGAGGCGTCAAAAAACTTACAAGAAAGACTAATTTTGTGGAATATTTATCGGCTTAAGAAATCACTTAGCATTCTAGATGACTTACAAAGCATTACGACGTATTAAAAGATATTACCTACTTTTCATCTCACACGAATGTTGTAAACTCGAAAACATACCGATCATTGATTAAAAAAGTTTAAATACTTCCGTTTTGGGCCTGATATTAAGTCTCAGTGGGGAGTCTCAATTGTGAGTTTCAAGGAACACTAAAATTTCAGTACATATATTAATTTACAGTTGAAAAATTATGCCGTGTCACAAACGTTCCATTTTTGTTACTATTACTGTTCTCTCCTTCGGAGTTTTTTCAAAACTTCACAATTATGACCGTGATGAAGATGGCACAATGTCTTTTGCATTGGAGGTGTGTAAGAAAATTTTGACCATGTCAAAGCACCCTCACATGCACGTTGTAGATTCACACGCAGAACAACCAATAGGACGATTTTTAAGGGATTTACACAACAATGCAGTATCTACAACTTTAACTGACCATCCTGGCATTTTAAATGAATCCATCGGAAAGCACGGGTCGAAAAATATATTCTTCTTCGTACAGAACTTCAGTGACATTTTTGGAGTAATTTTTGACTCAGTCTCGCAAGAAAAGAAAAGCGAGGTTGGGACCATCCCAAGGTCGGATCTTCAAAATAGTTACGATATCAACCATCTTCAAGAGAAATGTACTTTACGAAAATACTGCATCGAGTACGATCTGGGTCCTATAAATATCGGACCGAATGGGAACGAAACTTGCGACGTTCATTTGTACGTAACCTCAAAAGAACTAGTGACCGGATCAACGATCACGGATCAGGTTTTTAACTACACCCGGAGGCTTTTTGTGAACGACATTTGGAACCATAAAAACTATATAACATTTTTTATTTCAAACCCTGATAACCATGGATTAAGTGACGGCGCTATGTTCATAAGGAGTGGAGCAAGGAAATCAGGAGACAGCAACCCGATCGGTATGGACCAAAAGTTCGAACGAACATTACTGTTCTCATTTCGATTTTTTTGGCGCTTTTTCAAAGGTCAAAGAGTATTGATCTGCACAGAAAATACGTGCTTCAGGTATGATCCATTTGCTGCAAAGACACATCAGTATTTTTCTTCAAAAGATGAAACATTTTTCGATTTCACCTATGAAATTTTACAAACGTACAATGTCCGATGTCTCTTCCACCCCGGGACAGACACGATGACTGAACAAGTGTTTTGGTGGTTCACCTGGTGGGACGTATTAATGTCCGCAATTTACGACATAATGCATTTCCAAAATTTAACTTTCACGTTCGAAACCCTCCCAGAGGAACCGAGCGATTACAAAGAATTCGAGTTAGCTTTAAAAGTCGGCGTCGACTTATACGTTTCGCCTGTGAGCTCGATGTACGACACGGAAAACAACGCTGTGTTGGACAACACAGTCGCCATCGACACTTGCACCGTCTGCATAGGGACCCCCAGGCCTGGTTTCAAACCTCAACTATTTGTGCCTTTTCACGCTTTCTCACCCCCGGTATGGGCCGTGGTGATCGTGACGATAGCCTTTACCCTCACCGTGCAATACTTATTTCAATACTCGCAATACACCATTTTTAAAGGTCTTTATTCCGAGACGGAACTCCTGATTTTCGAGGAAACCCCCATCGCTCTGACAATTTTTTCGTACTTCATGTGCGGTTGCCCTGTTAGAGCTCTCTTGGGACGACTATTTACCGGTAAAATAATTTTCTGCGTTCTATCTTTCGCGGTCCTGATAATCGGCTCCGTTTTCCAAAACGGTATGTTCACTTTGCTGAGCCACTACGTCAGATACACAGATATTGACACGTTAAACGAACTCAGAGATTCCGATATACTCATACAATCGCGAGAGGCGGCGACAAATTCTACGTTATTCGACCAGCATCCCGAGTTTGCAGATCTAAAGGAAAAACTCGTTACCAACTACGCGTATTACAAAGATGTTATGGACGAGATTGTGGAGTATGAAAATACGACTTACTATGGAGCCTTTTTAGCGTTGGTGCGAGACTTGGATCAATCAAGGATAGACGCAGATCGGATTGCAGAGGTTAGCTCGATTCTTGAAAAAGCCACAGCTGCAAAGGTCTCGGACGCCTTTGTTTTCAGCTTACCGAGCTTCGTCATTTCTCGCAAGAACTTTATGTACAGGAGCCATATAAGTCTCAGGGCCGTGGAATTTCATCATGTTCAAGAGTGTTTTTTTACGTACCCGGTGATATTCCGCGTTTTGAAGAATTTCTTCTTTTTCGATGCTCTCAATGATAGACTGCTTCGGATCTTTGAAACGGGCCGGGTTGGCATGTTGGAAAACGAAGTTGGTGAATATACTGAAAAATATTTGACGGGCGAACTAATGGAGGATTTGCCGAGGGTATTCACCATGAGGGACTTTGAGCTGGCGTTCATGGGGCTGGGCGTTGGGTTATTTATCTCTTTCTTCATATTTTTAGGGGAAGTTTTCAATAATTTGTCTCATTAAGAATTTTAGAATATACTGAGGAATATGTATAGGACATATTATAGTGAACTTAAAATGTATCTTTAATGCCTGGTTTTATTGTATATTTTTGACTCTAATGAATTTTTTTTTATCTTTAAGCTTAGCTTTCCCCACAAAATAGTGTAAACCCAGCACTACTTTACCACCTTGTTCTATTATTAAAGATGTACATTATAGATAATTGGACTGCGTTTTGCATTTTAAAACTAGAATATCCAGCCTAGTTTAAAAACGGCGTATGCATATATTATTATATATATTATATGTTAGTTTCCCTAGAGACGTATGCGTTTTTAGGAATGATCTAGAAACTGTAGTTCCTAATCGCAAGATTAATTGAAAGACTAAAATCTCTGAAGAAATGTTAACGACTTGACGACTGGAAAATGAACTGGTTATAGGATGTGTTTGGACGTTTATGAGGTCAAACATATTTAGCAATTTATTATTATCCTTTTACAGAAATGAATTCTTTAGATAC